GGTGGTGGTGGTGGTGGTGGGTGGGGGGGGGGGGGGTGGCAGGGGCTGAGATGGATCTAAATGACCTGCGACGGTGTGGGCTTCTGGCCGGGGCCTTTCAGAGTCCTTGCCAGATATCTTACTGCCATCGAAATCAGGGACACCTTCTGTAAGACAACACACATTCAGGCCAGCAATTCACTCCAGGCGCCTTCCGGTCTCGCCTGGGGCCCAGCCCCTCCCAGAGACCGAGGGCCACAGCCCCTAGGTCCCTTCAGGCCAACCCCCTTTCCAACCATAACACACCGCCCTCCCTGCCCACCTGTTGGTGCTGCGCACCGCCACCACACTGCCTTCCGGGCTGTCCAGGACCTCCATCCCAGGGATGGCGCGGACCCCCGCCTGGAACTCGTCGGCGGCCGCGAGGATGGCGGAGGTAGCTTCCAGGAAGCCGTCCTCCCCCAGGTGCACCAGGGAGGCCCAGGCCGTGGCGATGAGGGCTCCGGAGCGAGACCCCGCAAACCCAGGCGAGATGTACAGGCCCCCCGTCCAGTCGGTGATGGAGGTGTACTGGTACTTTCTGTGAAAAAACGGGGAGCAGTTGGGGGATGTGAGCAGCAGGGGTGCTGCTGAGTGGGCAGGGCCGTGTGAGGTCGGCTCGGAGCCCAAGCTGTAGGGTGTCCCTGTGCCTGGCAGGACAGGGGACCCTTGCAGGCGCAGCTATGCCAGCGCTGCAGGCCCCCCCCCGAAGGCAGAGACAATGGGATCCCTGGCACTGCAGCCTTGCCTCAGAGTGCCTCCAGGCCCTTCAAACCTCCCAGTACCTCCTTTGCACGACTTGCCACCAGGCACCCCTCTACCCCACCAATCCACCCCCCCCCAAACCACCCGCACCTGATGTCCTTGGAGCGGTAGAGGACGACGGAGGTGCCCTTGTGCCCCTGCCCAAACTTGTGGGTGTCGGCGGAGATGGAGGTGACCCCCGGGACGGAGAAGTCAAAGGGCGGCACCCGGCGGCCGAGGCGCGCGGCGAATGGCAGCACAAACCCGCCCAGGCAGCAGTCGACGTGGCAGGGCACGCCGCGCGCTGCCGCCGCCGCCGCGATCTCCGTCACGTGGTCCATCACGCCATGAGGGAAGCCCGGCGCGGAGGCCACCACCAGCACTGTGTTGCGCGAGATGGCACGACGCACCGCCCGGCCGCCCAGACGGTAGTCCTTTCCAACCGGCAGCTGTGTGTGTGTTGGGGTGTGTGTTGGGGGGGGCTGAGTTGAATCGAATCCTATCTGGGGTGTGTGCCAGGGTGTGAAGGGACTCACAAGGCGGAGCTGGGATCGGTCAGCAAGGCAAGGGCGTGGTGCATTCCCCAGACCGTGATGATGTGTGGGCGCATGGGGACAGCTCCCTCATCGCGCATGAGCATGGTCATGGGTACCTGGTACCATCGCGCCCCTCGCGTTTCTGAAGCCACCCACGGTGGCCACGCACCATGACCACAACTCCCCCCACTCTTCCCTCAACCCCACACACCCTAATGAGGCGGATGCCAAAGTACTCGGCAGCCTTGATGAAGGCGGCGTGGGCGGAGACCGCCACGATCATCTCGGGCGAGGTGATGCCGCGCGTGGCCGCCATGTAGTCGCGGCTGGCCTTGACCGCCGTGAGGATGGACTCGGTGCCGCCGCTGGTCATGGCGCCGCACACGCCCGGGTCGCCCAGCGGGCCGCCTGAAGGGGGGTGGTATGGACTGCTTGGGAGGGGTCCCGTGTGCTGGGGAGGTCATGAGCCGGGCAGGGCAGCAGACACTCCCCACGTGTCACGTGCCCCTGCCCATCCCCCGCGTCTCAAGCATCAGCAGGAGCACCCTCCTCATCGCCACCCACCGCCGAGGATGGAGGCCGTCATGCGCACCACCTCCACCTCCATGCGCCGTACGGCGGGGAAGAGGTTGGCGTGCATGGGGTTGGTCATGGAGAAGGTCGAGTACGCGGCCTCCAGCAGCTCCAGGTGCTCCCTGCCCGCCATGTAGAGCACGCCGGAGACGGTGGAGGCGCCCTCCTTGAACTGGTGGTCCTCCAAGCCCTGGCATCGTTGGATATGCACGGGCGTGGAGGTGAGTATCTGGCACTCGGAGGGTGTGCGAACCCTCCGAGTGGCATCAACACAGTGATGGGTGGCCACAAAGAAGATCCATTCTCAGAGCGCCCCCCCAAAAAAATATCAACACAGCCCAGCGCCCATGCTCGACACACCTTGGCGCCCAGACGGCGCTTGAGGTCGGCGGCGGGCGTGCCGGCCGGCGGCAGCTCGTGCAGCGCGTCGGGGGCCGCGCCCTTTTTCATGCTTTCCTCCAGGTCGTCCACCACCTTTTGCTCCTTGGCCGCCACGATGCCGCGCAGGACGGGCAGGCGGAAGGCCAGCCTGGCCAGCACCTGGGTCACACCTGCGGGAGGGGAGTATGTGTGAGGGGGAGAGCAGTGTTGAGCGGAATGCGTCGCCATGGAGTGCTGAGGGAACAGCAGGGTACTGTGCCCAGGAAATGTGCAGCACTTTGGAAACCCCGAAGGCCGGGGACTTTGCGGCGGGAGCACCTGAGCCTTCCCCAGCCCCGCCGCACCCTTGTCCTGCAGGGTATGCTTTGCGTGCTGCGCCGCGTCCAGGACCCAGGACAGCAGGGCCGTGGCCACAACGGTGAGGAGGACCAGCTGCCAAGGGGCCCATAACCCCAGGCTCGCATTGATGTCCTCCAGCAGGGAGTCCACACACAGGCAGAGCTTGTCGGCCAGGGGCTGCAGGGCGGGGGCCAGGGCAGCCCAGTGCCGGGCCACCACGGGCTTCAGGGTGCCGGCATACGCCCTCACAGCATCTGCGGGGTCGGGGGGGAAGGTGGGTTCAGGCGCTGGTGTCTTCCCGGATGCATGGCCGCTGACTGCTTCTGCGGACGAAGGCCCCCTGCCTCCCCCATGGCGTGCCCGCTCCAGATAACCCCCCATTCCATGCCGCCATACCCTGGTATATGTATTCAAGGTTGCCGGTCAGGGAGCCCATCTTCATCGGATGAGATCGTCACTCTCCGCTCCCAAACCTTTGCAACGTGAGTGATCCTCGCGACCAGCAATGGGGGCACAGGGATGCGGCAGAATATCTTCTTTATTTACGCAATCTCAATCCTCAATAAAAATTCGTGGAAGGAGTATTCCAAGGCAGGACGATCCTTCCGAACTTGTTCCCTAGCCCGGCCTAACCAGTCTGGATCCGACACCGGTCCAGCGCGCAACTCCTTCCTCGATCAAGGTACTCACTGGACAGGGCTATATGTCACGAAGGCTGATCGCATCAGCCGCTCTGCCAATCATCTTGACCACCAATCCAGGGGATCACTTTCTGGTAATCGTTGGCCAACATCTTCCGATATATCAACGACCTCTGGCGACCTCAAGGAAGAACAGGTCAACATTACCTACGCTCATGAGACGATGCGCATGCCGCCCGTCGATATCGAAAAAGGTTTAAAATTTCATTACAAAGCTGTGTGCTCTTGTGCATAACAGTGTGCACGCTAGCCAATCGAGAGCAGCTGGCGCTATACACACACCTCACCCTGGAAGCTGCCAAAGCCACCGGCACGAGTAGCTGCGGATCCGCAATCAGAGCCATCCCTTCAGCGAGTATGACAGCCTTATCCACCTGTCCAGCGGAGCTATGAAAGGAGTTGCCCTGAGATACGTCATGACGGAGAGACGCCATGTGGCGCGCGCGGCTTAACAAACGCGTTCACGGTGGAACACTTGTCTTGTGTATATAAGGCGATTTCTTTTTGATGAGGCACCACACAACAAGTCCACTCATACGCTTCACTCGTACATCGTGCGAAGAGTGTCCCAGCCTGGTAACCAATCCCCTCTCTTAACGGCCAATGTACCGCTCCTAGTTTGCTTTTGAGGTGGGAAGGAAGGGATCACAGTCCATCTCGGTTTGTATATTCTGCTCATGCGTAGCTTCCCATTGTCCCACTGAGCCTTCATTTCAAGCGTCTGATCACCATGACTCGTCACCCTGTTCCCCAGATGGCTGCAACAACGACACACCCTGTTAGCAAAGTCCAGGATGGGGCGCCCAATGTGCCTGCCCAGCCCCAGGTCATCTATGTCAGCGGGGTCCCTCCAGCGGGAGCAGTGTATGCGACTGTGCCCACACCTTCAGGCATGGTCTTTGAGAGTGGCACCCCAATGACTGGGGTCACCTACGTCAGTGCTCCTGCCTCTGGCGTTTGTTGCTCAAGCCGCATTCAGCGCCGCTTGCGCTGCAGCATGCTCTGCCGCGGAGCCTATGTGGTGCAGAGCGCCCAAGCTGGAGAGGGCTCCATCCTCGTGGACGAGCCGTACCTCGACTACTATTTCCGCGTGGGCCCAGTGGGGGTCCTGGTCGGTACCGTGGCACGTGCGTTCGATGCTTGACGCAGCCTAGCTTGCAATAGCGTTACCCTATTGGTTCTCCCTCCTGAGATTCCAGTCTTCCTGCGTTGGTGCGAGCAGACATTGCCTGTATCCATTGTAGCATGTACTCTCCTTAATTGCGTGCGCATGTGCATGGCCCCCTGTAAAATCTGCCAAATATCTTGCTGAGAATCGCCCCGGGGGTGCACGACAATCACCACTCACCATGCTCGGACTGCACGAGGGTTTGCCCCGTGTAGTACATAATCAGGCCCAGAGGCCGAAACTCAATTAACCGCTGAATCGGAATATTAAGCATCCGCAAGTCGCATCACAGCGTGAGGGTTGAGCTGGTCGCAGGCAGGTGAGGGTGCAATAATACGAAACAGAAGCCAGGCGGTGCGGCAGGCCTCGATACCACTTCACGGCCACGATCCCTCCTTTCCATTCCAGGAACCAAAAGGCACTATGACTGCACCTCCTCCCATCGCGGTGGCCGCTGAAGGGCCCACCCACGCCTTCGACAGCGCGGCACTGGTGCCAACTCCGCTCCCAGCCTCTACCGAGCCAGCAGTGGCCGCTCCGCCCACTTCCAGCCCTGCTGTCGCCAGTGCTGTCAGTCCTCCTGCGGCTGATACCAAGGCTCCCTCCATTGCCGCAGCTTCCCTGGCCGTTCCCCCTGTTGCAACGCCTGCCGCAGCGGCTGATACTCCTGCAACTGCAGGGTGGCCTGTCGCTGCGCCTCCTCCCACTGCCTCCGCCCCGCCCGCAGGCTATCCCCCATCAGCAGGGCCTTCCATTCCCCCACCTCAGACGATGCCTCTCGTGGGGGTTCAGGGCCAGGCTTACGCCGCAACCCCAGCCTATGCCGCCCCCCCGACCTATGCACCCCAGCCCGCATACGCCGCCCCTCCGACCTACGCCCCGCAGCCCGCGTACGCTGCTCCTGCGGCCTATGGGCCACCACCTACGTACGGCTCAGCCCCAGGCTACCCGAGCCCTGCCTACGCCCCTGCCTATGGCGTGCCCCCGACGGCGTACACGGGCAGTCCTGCCGCGGCATACGGTGCCCCACCCGTTGCGGCTCCCTACGGAGCCCCCCCGCCCGCTCCCTACGGCGCGCCTGCACCCACAGCCGGAGCGCCGCCGGTCGTCTTCGCCCCCCCTAATTTCACGCAGGCAGGGTATGGCCCCGGGTATGGCCAGCAGCAGCAGCGCCGTGGTTTCTTCTGAAGCTCATCCTGATGTGATCAGTGCCAAGAACTGTCTCAAACCCTTGCCCACCCGCCGGCACCCATGAAGCTGCACCCTTCCCTACATCTGTTCACACTGAGGCTTTGGATGAATGCTTGGTGCCCAAGCTGGGGTCCCAGGCATGTACACACTGATCCCTGTACCATGAGTGAGCCTGGAGGGGAGATCAAGAGTGAGTCTTCAGTGGTGTGCAAGAGACTGGCTCTCCAGAGGTGGGGAAGAAAGGTTGGGGGTAGTTGGACGGAGATTGGCATGGCGGAAAGGACGTAGATGTCTTTGGAATGGTGCTATTATGTGCGACACATGAGGTGATGACTGTGTTTTCGAAACAACCCCGCCCCAGATGTCTATCCTACGTGTTTTTCTTGCCCGCCGCACCTGATGCCGTGTGTAGCACAGTTGCCTTTCATAGTTGGACCAAGGGGGTCTCCGACCTTCGTGCCTCATGCCATGCCCAGGCTCGCTCTCAAGAGCTGCTTGATACACCTTGAAAGCACTGCATACACGGTATTCGACGAACAAGGGGCATCATGGAGGGTGATACATACAAGGCGGGATGGATACGTATACAACGGCTGTCCAGGAGGTGCCCAGAAACTCGTACATCGTCAGTGTGAGAGAAGCAGGGTCCGCGCTGGGCGGCACATGGTCTAACCCCAGGCGAGAGCCGATGAGAACTGAAGTCGGGCGCACGCTCACCATGGGCAAGCCCCTGCTCCCACGCCTTCCCTGGGCCGGCACGGGTGGCGACCCTCCCTGCATCAGCGCGCGCTGCCGACGCGCACCCAGGGGGTCCGCACTTGGGCGCCCGTGGCATCCAGGTAATACGCGCTGACCCTTCCCCCGGCCACGTTTGCGTCGTGGGTCCTCCACACGTGGTTGCTGACCAGGCCGTCGGGCTGGTAGGCGTCCTTCGCCTCCAGGTTGGCGATGTGGTAGGACACGTGGATGGCGGGCTGCAGCTCCGCGGTGGTCACCGTGGTCACGCAGGCGACCTCCCCAGACATGCTGTTCAGGGTGCACCGCGCAGAAGACATGGTGATGGTCGGGGGCGGGGGCGGGAAGGAGGGCGGCGGGGTGGGGGGCGGCGGGGGCGGCGCCGGGGGGAAGGGGCTTGGGGGTGGGGAGACTGCGGGTGGGGAAGGCGCACTGGGGGGCGGCGGGGAGGGGTATGGCTCCAGCTGGACGCTGTTGGACACCAGGCGCTGCCGGTCGGCGGTGATGTAGGTAGCGTACGCGTACCCGACGGTGCCGGAGCCGCCCGACACCTCAAGTGTACCCTCGTAACCCGGGCCCACGGCAGTGCAGGAGTAGACGGCCGACACCCAGCCCAGCTCCAGGTGGACGTAGAGGGTGGGGTGGGCGGCGGGCGCCGTGATGCTGACGGTGCACTGGATCTCGTAGGCACCCATCTTCCCGCAAAAGGCCCAGTTCATGACCAGGGTGGGGTCCCCCAGCTGGGCGGCGGGGGGGGTTGCCGAGGCAGCGGGGAGCGCGGCTGCTGCGTCGTGGACGCCCGCGCCCTTGCGAGCGGCAGGCAGCAGCCTCCTGGCGGCCGGGAGGAGGGAGGTGGGCGGCCTGACCGCGGCCAGGCTCCGCCCCAGATCCAGGGTTGGGGAGGGGCCCCTGCCCGAAAAGGAGCATGCCAGGTCTCTGCCCATCGTCACCTGGCACCTCAGGCCGCTGCCCATCAGCGCATCCCCCCAGGCTGCATCCCCATGGTTGCCGGAGCCTGTGGGCATCAGTGCAGCGCGCATTACCCGTGAGGTCTCCTCCAGTCATGTCACTGCCGCAGGGCGATGTCAGTTAGCACAGGCCTGACCAGGAGCACCAGGATGCAGAGCCAGGAAACACCTGAACATCGCGCCTGAGCCTCAAAGCGTCCATACATACCACAGCCGGGTGCCCTTGGCGCCTCCCCCACCACGACCCCTTCCTCCAGCTCACCAATGTTGTAGCTGCCGCTGTTGTCATTGCCAAAGTTGCCGAGGCCCGTGTTCCCCGACCCAATGTTCCCCTGGCCGTCAGCCACGCAGGCAGACCGGCCAGGAGGGAGGCACTCCACAGCGGCAAGCACTCTGCAGGGGGGCTGCTGACACACCTCCTGGTCTGCAAGGGACAGGGCAGACATGTTGCTGCCGACGAGGTGGCTGAGCTCAACCTCCAGCTGGCTTCCCACTCCTGAGTACCCGAGACTCCTGCAAGTGCGGTCAACGGTGCAAGAGATGGGATGCCCATTGTACTGTGATACTGGTGGTTATTGGCTGGCCTGCATCTAGACTTGCACTATCATGCTTCCTCAATGTTGACTTATACAAGGTACACCCGCCTCACGTGCACAAGACTTCACTGCTATCCGCCGTCATGAGGTAAAGAGAACCATTGAACCTGGTTAGAATGGTTTGTAGCTAGACTTTGATGAAATGGACGAGTGGGCTTTACCTCCAAGCGCAATGCCACCTCATCACATTGAGGGTCCGAATTTTCTACCACCCCACTCCCGTGATCGCGACCTACCTCGCTGTGGGGAGGGCGAGGAACTTGGAAGCACACCTGTCCTGTTTGCAATGTGAAAATTCGGATGGTGAGCTCAAAGTCGATGGTGTACGGACTAGACACATTCCGCCGTACAAGTAAGGCGTCAAGTCGGCACACACGTACCGCGAAGCAGGGCGCCAGGAGGCAAGCCAGGAGGCAAAGAAGACCGTACAGACGATGCAGCGTCCAGTTTGTTCGCCGCATTGCACCGCAAAATCTCGAGCAGAGTTTCAACGAGAGGTTGAAATGTGCCCGGCAGCTCTCCGGCAAAAGTGCTGATTTCAGAGCTTTGATACGCTCGAGTCAGCAACTCCTAAAAGTCTAGAGAAATGATCCCGCAATTGTATCTGTTCAGTATCCAAATGTTCAGTCAAGCGCATGGCACTGTAGTGCTGTTCTCCGGTTACAAGGTCTATTCACGGCCGCGGCTCACACCTGCCCCGAAGACGAATAACGAGCCGGGCCTGACCGGAGAAATTTACCGGCCAGCATTATTTCTACCTACCAAATCCACGCGGCGGCTGCTGTTTGAGACTTGCTGAAACACTCAAGCGCACTGCGATATTGTAAAAGTCGACCATATATGCGCCCAAACGTGGTTCGTGAGCCTTAATATGTAGGAGAGAAAAGGACTTGTGTCCGAATGCAGTGTTCCATTCAGCTTTCGCGATTTGGACCCCTGCTGCTGTGCATCCTCGCCGACATTCCCCAACATTCCTGGACATCAACCTCCTGCAATGTCCCTGAACTTCTTCCCTGCCTTGGGTTCTTCGAGTACCCTATTGTAGTTTGTACGCCTTGACAGCACTTGATGAGGCGAAAATTGAAGAGAGGGTCCACATGGAATTAAATATGTGATCTATATGGTACAGCCGCTTTCGAGCCCAGGACACGGGATTCGGGGGCACATCAATTCAGGGGGGTCATGGAGCAGTGCCGCTCGGGCAGCCATCCAGGCTCACTTCCTCAGCACCTCCAGCACCAGCCCGTGTACTGCCGCTCCCGCCACGGCCAGGGAAACGAAGAAGAGCAGGATGGTGAGGGTCAGGAGGACGCACCGCTGCCAGCCGCGCCGGCCCGTCACTTGCAGGTAGAGCGTGATGGGGAAGTAGACGCCTGCCGGCCAGAACAGGAGGGCACCTGGTGCAAGCGGGAGAGCGGGCGCACGGTATTGTGGGTGGGTTGGCGCGGGGGGTGGGTGGTTGGGGACGCAGCGCAGCGTGGGTGCTCCAGGGGACGGAATGGGTGTACACCCCGCTACAAGGAGTGGAATCTGGACCTGCCCGGCAGTGCATCGACCCCCGCCAACCCTCGCCCGCAGGCCCTCCCCAGGACAATACCGAGCCCATCGGTCCCACCGCCCCACCTATGAGGCCCAGGATCTGGGAGAAGCAGGGCAGCAGGGCCGCCAGCGCCGTCGCCAGCACGACGTAGGCGCTGCGCAGGACGAGGCGGGCGGGCCAGGCGGGCTCGCTGTGGTCTGGCGTGACGACAGGGTGTGTCTCTGAAACGACGAGGGCCTGCCCCGCCTTGGTGGCCCCCAGCGGATCCCGTGCCGGCAGCAGGGCGCGCTCCAGCGCGGCAAAGGCAGGCTGGCTGTACACCTGGTAGGCAGAGAGGAGGTGCAGGATGACCGCGCAATTGGCCACGACCAGCACCCAGGTGGGGCCGATGTGGGGGATCGCCAGCACGTTGTCCGGCACCTCGTTGCCGAACGCCGCGTAGCTGTGAGAGGGATGAATGACGAGGAGAGGGATGGGGGTGCTGAGAGGGCCAGGAACGAGTGATGGGTGATGGGTGTGTGGAAAGCTTGGCACGGAGACAGCCGCTGCCATGGCACCGGGTGGGGGCGCTGCGCTGCCTCTCACCTGCATCTCCCTCTGGCCAAGGCAGCCCCGCGCTGCATCAACACCATCCACCCCCCTAACAACCGCGCTCACCCTGCCACGCCCACGCCCATGTAGAGGAGGAAGGAGACCAGGAGGGAGCCGGCGATGGCGCGCTGCATGGCCGCCCCCGCCCGCCTGCCGCCGGGGACCTCCCGGATGGTGGCCTGGACCTCCACCAGCACGGTGGGGAAGGCCAGCGCAAAAGCGATGCCGCCCAGCGCGCTCAGCGCGCCCAGCGTCTTCTCCTCGGCCGTCGCGGCGGGGATGCCCGTGCTCGTCCCCCGCCGCTCCGTGGCTGCAGGGAAGAAGCGAAGGGTACACCATCACAGGAGGGGGAAGCGCGATGCGGCCCCGGTATGTGCGTTTAGAAAGTGCCCCAGGCCCGGCTGCGAAATGCACGCCCACCGTCCAGGCCCAGCGGCTTGCAAGGCCCCTCGCGCTTTTCCCTCACGGGCCGCTCACCGTGCAGCAGGCTGAGGCCCAGGGCGGCGAGGGAGTAGACGAGGGAGGTGGCGGCACCGACGGCCGAGGACCAGGCTGCATCATCCAGGGAGGGCAGCTGCGAGGCGGCCAGCTGCGCGGCACCAAACGCCGCGATCTCCCGCCACAACGCGGCCTGGTCGCCGCAGTTGGCCGCGCCGGCGCCGGCGGAGACGCCGTGGCAGGCGAGCGAGGTTCGCACCGCGCGCGCGCAGGCGGCCGCGGCGATGGTGTAGGCCACCGAGGCCAGGCCGTTGATGCCGATCTGCAGTGCCGCCACCGCCGCGCGGGGGCCGGGCCCCAGCGCGGCGCCCACCAGGTCGGCGTAGGAGGCGTGGCGCGTGGAGCCGGCGGCGGCCGCGGCGGCCAGCAGCGCCGCGTTCAGCCAGGTGAGCAGGTAGAAGAGGGCGAGCAGGGCGGGCCCGCCCAGCCAGCCCAGCCAGGCGATGGAGTGGGGCAGGGCCAGCACGCCGGCGCCGATGACCGCGGTGACGATGTGCGCAGAGGCGGTGAGGGCGGTGCCTGAGGGGGGGGAGGGGGGGGAGGGGGGTCAGAGAGAGGGGGTGGGATGCCAGCTGCCGGGTGCAGGAATGATGGTGGTGTAGGCGGCAGGGGAGGGCAAGCACCGGAGTGCATGGTGGAGGGCAGGGCCGGGGGTCGACGCTGCTCCATTGCACCCGTACCCAAGCAGTCGGGTCACGCTCCCTGCCCCCCGGCGTGTGGAGACGCGCCATGCCCCCGGCAATTCACGCATTTCCAACCAATGCACCACAAATAAATGCGGTAAACACACCATAACCTCACCATGGCGATGGCTGTCGGGCTCTGACTTCGGTTGCAGGGGCTGGAGGGACCCGTCCTCCACGTCGCCGCCGCCCGGGCCGGCCAGCAGCGGCTGCTGCAATGCCATGAGGCTGGTCGACGGAAAACCAATTCGGGCCTGGTGCGGCACTAATTCGAAGTGTGCCATCCCGCTGGGATCGCCTGATCCTTGCGTGGGGCTGCGTGAGGCGTTTCGTTCCAGCAAATGGGGGTTGCGAGCATCTCGCGCCCTGGGTCGGCCGGCCGCGTCACGTGCCGGCACACACCCATCGAAAGGATCCCAGCCTGAATGCTTGGTGGGATCCACCTGAGACCCTCGGTAACTATAGAAAGTTCTGACCCGTGGTAATTACCACCGGTATTGCAGAACATCTAGCCGATTCTACGGTCCTAGGAGTCGTCACGCCAATGCTAACAACATGGGAACCAATACACAAAACGAGGTGGCAGGCATCCACTCGACCAGGCGCGATAAAAATGGGATCATGGGAATGTCGTTGCGCGCAGTCCTTAAAAATGGTTGCCCCACTCGGCAGGAAAATGGGAAAATGGTAGGCCCACCCGCCCAAGGCCTTTGCACCTCCCCGCCGCCCCTGGGCGGCCGTCAGTGGAACAGGCCGTAGGTGCTGGCGTTCCGGACGATGGAGCTCATGGCCCCCACTGCCGCCACCAGGCACACGACCAGCACCCCTGCGTTCAGGCCCTGCATGGCCCAGCGCTTGACCCGGGGGGCGGGGTACACCGCCAGCCACATCACCACGGGGAAGACGACGACGGTGGGCCAGTAGAAGAGCGCGCCCACCAGGCCCACCACGTCCGCAAAGAAGGGCACCAGGCAGGCCACGAAGGTGAGGAGCAGGGTGTAGAGCGAGCGCCAGACGATGCGCACCGCCAGGGGGCTGGCCCGCGCCCGGCGTGACCGCTGGGCCAACGCTGACTCCATCGCGGCGTACACCGGCTGGGAGAGGAGCTGCACGGCACACAGCATGTGGATGAAGACCATTATGTTGCCCAGCACGATCACCCATACTGTGCGTGGTGGCGGGGAGGGAGGGGATGGGGGTGGGAGGATGTGGGCGAGGCGGGGGAAAGTGTGAAGGATGTGGGCGAGGCGGGGGAGGGGGAAGGATGTGGGCGAGGCGGGGGAAGTGTGAAGGATGTGGGCGAGGAGGGGGAGGGAGAGCGGCGGCCAGACCAGGCCAGGAAAGTTGGGACTGCCCTTGCCAATGGGCGCACAAGCCAGAGCGGCGCCGCTCCCCACACCAGGCCACCCAGCGACTCACCGGGGCCGATGGCCGGCTCGGCCAGAACTGAGCCGGCCACGGTGTCGCCAAACGCGAGGTACCTGCGGTGCAGGTGTTGTGCGCAGGGCCTCGCTCGGTGCCAGTCCCAGGGGTGAGCAGACTGGTCTATGCGAAGCAGGCATTCAGCCAGTGGTCGCTTGAGGCTGGTTGATGCACCGGCCTCCCATGCCATGCTCCAAGGCGACCCACCCACCCACCCCGAGATGGCGACGGCCATATAGAACAGGAATACAAAGGTGATGGCAAGGCCGGTGGCGCGTTTCATGGCCACATCGGCGGCGGGTGGCTCCCGGAGCGTGTCCTGTGGGTGGGGAAAGGGGGGGGGGGGAGTGGCGCCTGTCAGATCCTGTCCTGGGCTGGGCTCTTGCCATGACTGAAGGGAGAGGGGAAAGAGAGCCGGATCCCTTGTCCCCCCAGGTGCAGCCAGGCGAGATGGGATGAGCAAGAGCCACGCATCGGACAGGCCAGCCAGCCCAGTGCTGCAACGCGGCACGCCTGCGGCTCACGGCCCGGTGGCTTACGCGCCCGGCCTCATGAGCGCCCAGCGTCCCTTCCTCCAATCTCCCCCCGTCCAAAGCTCACCTGGACCTCCACTAGGATGGCCGCAAAGTTGAGGGCAAAGGCCACCTGCCCGGTGGCATTCATGACCCCAAACACTTTGGCCGCCGTGGTCACGTCCGAGTTGCCCCCGAGCGTGCCCTGCCGGTGGCCGGCTGCAGGCAGGAGGGGCGGTGGGCAGGGGGTCGAGGTGTGGGAGCAGGGTCCGTGAGGCATGGAGCATGGGGGCCGAGCCGCAAACCGCAGGCTTGCGTGCTCCCGCCCCCCGGCGTCCCGCGTCGCCGCTCATTCATGTGAAGAGCAGCCAGTCGCCCGCTCCCCCTCTCCTGTTCCGGCCCCAGTCTCCCCGCCCACACCGCGCACCCTGGGCGAGGCACAGGCCCAGGGCGATGATGGAGTAGCCGATGGACATGGTGGCTCCCACCGTGGAGCTGATCCAGGTGGAGTCCAGGTTGGGCATCTGCGCCAGGAACAGCTGCATGCCGCAGAAGGCCAGGATGACGGGCCACAGGGCTGGGTCCACACCGTAGTGCCCCACTGCCACGAGGGCTGCCCTGCAGGCCGTCATGGGCGCGGGGTGCGGTGGGGGGGGTCGGGCTCGAGCCTCGTCTGGAGTGCCCGAGCCCGTTCACCACTCCCTCAGGGGTCTGGGTACATGCTGTGTGGCCTTGGTGTGAGGGGCCCAGGTGCAGGCCGTCACACAGGGCTGCTATGTGAAAAGGGCGCATGCCGCGCCTGCAGCTCCGCCTGGACGACGACAGGGTTGCGTGCACTCACTCCCCGGCACCCCTGGTGCATCCCGAGCCTGAATGTCTCCGTCTCACCGTCCCGATGTGCCGGCGGTGATGAAGTATGCCAGACTGACCAGGATGAGCGTGCTCAGCTGCAGACCGGCCAGCAGCTTGCCTGCCAGGGGGCCCTGGAGGGTCGTGCAATGTGAGGATGAGGGCGAACGCGTGAAGTCATGACCCCCCACAGCATGTGACCAACGGGGTGCAGCGCCGACGCGAGGCGTGTGCGCCCCCGGCTTGATGACACCCGCCCACCCACCAGAATGTTCTCGGTGGCCTCCCGGTAGGTCCGCGCCTTCCTGCCCTTCACGTCCACCGTCTCGATCAGGAGGTGGGCGCAGTAGAGCGTGACGCCATAGAATGTGGTCATCAGCGCCAGCCCGCCCACCCAACCAAGCCAGGACAGTGCATTGGGCAGGCCCAGCACGCCGGCTCCCATGATGGCTGTGGGGAGGGGCGAGATGGGGGGAGGTATCACGGCTCATGCCGGGCCGGCGGGGGCTGGGGCTGGGAGGAGGGGCCACTAGGGGCGGCCCCGCTGCGAGCTTCCTCCTCGGCCGGAGGGAAGCCACGCCGCCGACGCCATAACAACCTCACGGGCGTGCGTACCGGTGACGATGTGCATGAAAGAGGTGAATACGGTTCCTGGGAATCCAATGAAGGGTGTGGGGTGGGATCGGGTTGCAACCAGCGCGGGCCGGGAAGGCACCTGAGGCCACAGCAGCCGGGGCAATGACCTCCGGGAGCAATGCCGGTCCCATCCGCGCACGAGCAGGCATGCCACTCACCATGACGTTCTATGACGAGAACCTTCGTAGCATCGCCATGGTCTTTGGATGCCAGCTCCAAGTCACGACTGGATCTGGGACTGCCCTCCATTCCGGTGGTGGTCCCCGTCGTGGAGCGCCTGGGGCGAGTGCACACCAGAGAGGGAATGCCTCGGCCAATGAGTTTGCAGGTAATGCGGTCAAGGTGCATCAGCAGGCCCCGTCTCGCAACCCTAAGAGCGACAGTCCTGCGAGACGGCGCTCATCGGCCGGTGGGAGGGAAACCGGCCGGATGAATTGCGGAGATCCACGTCAAGGACTGTCGGCCGGCCCAGCTTCCAGGGTGGGAACCACCACTGGAAGTCACTGCTGCGGCTGAAGATTATGCGATGACAAACCACCAAATGTGTCTAAAAAGAACTGGTTCTTCTGAATTCCTTTGTACTTGTACTTGCAATGAATCTATGACAAAGCAAGAGCTGACAGTTACCCTATTTCACGTCTGGATACCCAGGGGATAGTTACCTTGTACCAATCTTCAGCACTTGCCGCAGCTGTCACCTGCGCTGACATGGACATGTCACACCAGGAAGGAATGCTAGGAAAACGCATCAAGCTTGGGTTTCGATGGAAAGCTGCAAGCGCTTTGGCTCCAGGCCACCTCATCAAGGGGTTGGTGCAACCAAGTTGTCTGTAGGACTGGTACAGGTCCAAGGCAGCTAAGGAGGGGGATGGACACTGGAGCGATGTCCATTGATAAATAATAAGCCGGTTGGGACGGCTCCAGGAAAGAATCCCTCCGAGAAAGTGACATCGTGGATGTCAGAAGGTAGGCAGGGGAAGGGTAAACAATACTGTAGCGCCAAGGGGGGGGGGGGCGGCGTGATCCAAGTGTCGTCAGCAGCCTTTGGCCCTCCCGACCTCCATGTTCCTGCACCAGATGCCCTCTTTGGCTTGCTGCAGAGCTTGAAGGGTGGAGGCCCCAAACTCCGAGGCCGCAGCAGGACTTATTGGGTTAGGCACCTTGGCAGCGGCCACGCTGCATCACTGGAACACGCCGTAGGTGTCGGCGTTGTTGATGATGGAGCGCAGTGAGCCCACAATCGCCAGCAGCGCCACGATCAGCATGGCGGCGTTCAGGGTCTGCAGGCCTATGTGCACGCTGAGGCGCGGTGGGAAGACCGCCAGCCAGACGAAGACGGGGAAGAGGATGGCCGTGGGCCAGTAGATGACGGCGCCCACCAGGCCGATGATCTGAGAGAAGAAGGGGATGAGCGCCGAGATGAAGGTGATGAAGGCAATGTAGAGACTGCGCCAGACCAGCTTGGTGATGCGCGGGCTGGTGGCGATGGGGCTGGCGGGCCAGCACCGTGCCACGCCATGTTCGATGGCGGCAAACAGAGGCTGCGTGAAGAGCTGGACGGCCGATAGCATGTGTATGAAGACCAGGGCGTTGGCCAGCACGATCACCCAGACTGCAGGGGAGGAGGGGATGGAGGGGCACCGGGATGAAAAGGGTGGGAAGGGAGCGTGGGGAATCCAACCAGTAAGCCTCGTTCGCGGTTGCAGCATTTGAGCGTGTCGCGGTTCAGGCCAGGTGCATGCAGGCCAACCATCCATCAAGTACCATCGCCGTGAGAAACCACACCTGGGCCGACGTCTGGCTGGGACAGGATGGATCCAGCCACACCGTTCCCAAACGCCAGGTACCTGCAGTTAGTGAAGGTGGAAGGGGGTGGTCGAGAGGCATGGCCTGACAACCTGGTGTGTCACGAGCAGCAATGCAGGCTTCCACTCATCCGCATGCTGTGCGCGGATCTGGGACATCCCATATCCCCCCCCTCCCTGCATCTCACCCGGTGATGGCAATGGCCATGTAGAAGACGTAGGCGATGGTGATGGAGATGTTGATGGCCTTCTTCATGGTCTTCTCAGAGGATGGGGGGATGCGGATCGTGTCCTGCATCGAGGTGCGCGGACTGGGCTAGTGAGGGAGTGGGGGGTCCGAGACGGCTGCATGGCTCGAGGCACAGGCCAGACCCAGCAGCACCCCAGACCCAGTCCCAGGTCGCCCCTCGCCCGCGCACCGATGAACCCCTCCCCACCCCCCTCGGCGCCGCACCTGGATCTCCACGAGGACGGGCGCAAAGTTGTAGGCGAAGGCTACGCCGCCCAGTGCGTTGAGGACGTTGAAGAGCTTGTTGACGCTGTTCACCTCAGTGTTGCCCTGGATGGTGCCCAGGTGGTTGCTGGCCTTGGCTGCGCACAGGCCCAGGGCGATGATGGAGTAGCCGATGGAGGTGGCGGCGCCCACCGCGGAGCTGATCCAGGTGGCGTCCAGGTTGGGAAACTGGGACAGGACGATCTGCATGCCCCCAAACGTGACGATGATAGGCCAAACAGACTGATCCACGCCATAGTGGCCCACCGCCACCAGCAGCGCCCTTGGAGGACGGGATGGGATGAGAGGCGGGTGGAGTGAGCCCAGAGCAGCCTGCTGCCGGGGGCGCCCCGCTTGCGCTGACGCTGGCATGGGCGCGCACCTCGCACCCAGGGCCAAGGAGATTGGCCTGCCACCCAACCCCGCCAAGCATGCATGCTCACCTGCCGGCCTCTCCAGCGGCAATGGTATAGGCAATGCCGGCCAGGAAGAGGAGGGTGCACTGGAATCCCCAGAGGACCTTGGAAGCACGAGGGCCCTGAGGATGGTGGTTGTGGGGGGCGGGGTTTGGTCGGGCCGGGTGTGGGGTTGTATGGGCTCATGCCCGTGAACAGAGGCTGGCGAAACTGAAAGAAGGAATCCTGCCCCTTGCCATGCTGCTGTCTAGCAGTCAAAGGGCCGTCACTCACCAGGATGTGCAGCACCAGGCCGCGGTACGTCATGTGCTTGACGCCCTGGCTCTCCACTGTGGCCGCCAGCAGGTTGGAGGAGAGGATGGTGGTGGCGTAGAAGATGCTGATCAGGGCGAGTCCTGCGATCCACCCCAGCCAGGACACGGCATTGGGGAGGCCCAGCACGCCAGCGCCAATCATGGCTGCATGAGGGGGGTTGGGGGTGGGCCGGGCCGGAGTCGGACATCTGGCATGGTTCCTGGGAACCCTCGGAGCTGTGGCGACGTCAGTGATGGGACCGAGGAGGAGCGCAACTCACCAGTAATGATGTGCGCGCAGGTCGTGAACAAAGTCCCTGCGAGGGAGGTGAGGGGGGTGGGGTGGGGGTGGGGCTTGAGTGTCGAGCACCATCTCGGGCCGCGGGTATCGTACGGGAGCGGTCCCTGAGCCAAACGCTCCACTCCCCCTGTGAGCCACTAGAACCTCTACAAACTCCTCTGGAAGATACGAAGCGTTTGGAACCCTCTCACCATGTCTCTCGCGGTGCAGAATAGGGTTCGGCGACTCTTTGCCCAGGGAGCCCTGCTCCAAGTCGTCCGTCTCGGTGACAGCCTTGGTGGGTGAGTGTGTCGACATCCGGACCACAGGAGGTTTTTGTCCCAAAGGTATACAAAATTTCAGAAAACTACAGCCATAGTACCCCTGACCCTGTGTCGCCGGAATATGGGCTCGCACATCTGCCAGCAAATGTCGGGTCGCCTTGCTAATCCCGGCGGCGGCCCCAGATCCAGTGGGCTGTTCCCATGGGACTCTCCTTTCTGTTGAGAGATAGTGGACACCTCTACAGGGCGTCAGCCATCATCTCAGAGGTGCAACACTCGTTCATAACCTCATCCAAGCACACAAGGCTTCAGATCGATGCTCGAGGTCTCACTGAACCATCCATCTGCTTTGACGCCCAGGAGTGCCAACCAAAGAGATCTTCCCCGCGCCCCGACAGCATACTCGGCGGCCTGTCCTGGCGCATGTTCCGTCTAATGTTCTATCAGGGCCGCGAGTACTATGCAATAGAGTAGGAAATGTGCTGGATACATTCCGGCAGTGGAAGAGGTAAATAGGTTGGCCCGCCTCGAGTGTCGGGGTGGCGGTCAGGTGGCAGGGAAGCGCCACCTCGGGGAAGCTATAAATAGTGCATGTCGAACAGTGGGCTCCAGAAAGTCCCAAGTGTATTCATTATTCATATCCGATCATTGAGATATATAAGTCACCTGTAGTCGCATTTGGGTCTGCACCCATTCCTCGGCAGGGGGATGCCTCGGCCACGGCAGGGCCGAAGGGAACCCCGCCGCGACAGAGCAGAATGGGAGGTTGCAGCGGACAGTCGGTCCCTCAATGAAACAGAGGATAGCAGCTATGCCAGCTCCAGCGGGAGTGGGGATGAGAGCGAGGCCGCGCTGGTTCCCATCCGCCTGGCCATGTGGGACCTGGGGCAGTGCGACAAGAAGCGATGCACAGGCACCCGCCTGGTCAGGCATGGACTTGTGCAGGAGCTGCGACTCGGCACGGTGAGGCGCTGGGTTGGAGGGACCTCATGCACTCAGTGAAGGGGTGGATGGGGACTGCTCCTTTGCAGCTTCCTCGCACCTTGCAGTGCAGGTTCTTGGCACTGGGTGCTTCATCCAAGGGCTTCCACTGGAACGCCACACAGGTGTTTCCCGGCGTCATCCTCTCCCCCATGGGCCGCAACTGCGTCTCTCGCGCCGACCGGCAGCTCATCGCCTCCAGGGGCCTGGCGGTGGTGGACTGCTCCTGGGCCAGGCTGGACGACGTGCCCTTTGCCAGGATCAAAGGCAATGCGCCCCGTCTCCTGCCCTGGCTCCTGGCTGCCAACCCCGTGAACTACGGTCGACCGGCCAAGCTCTCCTGCGCCGAGGCTCTGGCCGCCGCCCTGTACATTTGCGGCTTCCCAGCCGAGGCCCGGGCCGTCATGGGCCGGTTCAAGTGGTGAGTGAGCTGTTGCAGGATCAAAGGTGGAGGCAGGTGCAACGCTGACCCGTGGCTTGAGGGTTGCAAATTTGGGCCACGGGCTGCTGAGGGACCAGTCGAAATGCACCAGACAGGCTTAGGGTGGGGTGCCAAGCGGGCCCTGCACCTTGGGAGCGGTGCATGCACTGGAGTCTGCATTGGCTAGGAGAATTCTGCCTCAACGGTCATTTCTGAGAGTTTGCCTGAGGCGGAATAATCTCATCTTTGAGCTCGGCGTCAGCACCCTCCTCAGTGCACCAGTGGGAACTCACACCCAACATGCTTCCACCTTTCCCATCATTAGGGGCCACAGCTTCCTGAGCCTGAACGAGGAGCTGCTGGAGGGCTACGCAGCATGTCCGGGACCCGAGGAGGTGATAGAGTACCAGCAAAGACACGTGGCCTCCCTGCAGGAGGGGTCTCGCCGGAGAGGTGCGTGTGGCCGGCACTGGTGTGTACGTGAGTGTGCCCTGGGCGGATTGCAAGCATGCGGGCGCTGACCTGCGTATCCGCCGCCTTGCTGGGGAGAGCGGGGCGCGCCGCAAGGGGCTGTGTAAAGGCACATGTATCCCCCACCCCCTCCCTCGCGTTGACCTTCAATCCACACGCGCCAACTCCTGATGCAGAGCGGGGGCCCGAACAGGGCGACGACTACCTGGACCCGGACGACCTTCCCTCCTCGGATTCTTCCGGCACCGAGTCTGAGTCAGACAGCACGGCCACGGATGAGGGCGGCCAGGGGCCACTGGGCCATGGCGCGCGTTCAGGCGAGGCGCAAGCAAGCGAGGCAGGCGAGGAGCTGGCGCGGCTGGGCGTCAGTGGGGAGCGGCGAGACGGCAGCCGGTCACCGGAACAGCACAGTGGATGAGGGAGTGCTCCGATGTTCCTCCTCTCGTCCCTCGCTGGCCCGATCTATGTGCAGTCCTTGGGATCAGACAGGTGCTGCCAATGACTTTAAGGTGCCTTACAGGGGTGGGGCATGGGGAAGGTGCTGGGCAGGGGACGCGTAGCGCCCCTCCCAACCCCCTTGGTGCGATGTAGAGCGCATAAGCCCGCAGCGACACTCTGCGCCGTTTCCTGGGGCGTCATTCTCCCGGGCCATGCCAGCAAGGTCGGTGCCACTGCACTGGACGTCTTTCCATCTGCACTCCGCCAATCACCAGGTACATGCCCAGGCCGCATGAAGGGAGCCCGTCGCGTCATGTGCGTGCCGTCGCAGCGGGGCCTCCGTGTTCAGCCTGGTAGCCGGCGTGGCGGCCATGAGCCCTGGCGCGTGACTGCCGCGCATGCTGTTCAGGAGCCTGCACAACGGGGCATCCCACTTCCCTCTGATGAGAACCAGGGCATGCCTGAGCACGGTGCACCCCCACATTCCTCGCCGCATGATGTCATTTGATGGCATGTTGTTCTGGAGCTGTGACACGCTGCTCCACGGTTTTAGAGGAAGGTGCGGCGCTCTCTGTCGCAGGTCTCCCACCGACAACTCTCAACAGGCCCTGGTCTGTGCTGGCAGGCGCCGCCGGGACCAGGGTCAAACTGCCTGCCAGGCGCTGGAGATCATCCTTGGCTGATGCGGGGTCGAGCGCCTCCACCAGTTGCCTGGGATGATGAGGGTTTTGGCAGAGGGGCTCTGGGTCAATCGATGCACCCCCCAGGGGCATGCTCGGGGTGGATGCCTTGCATTCATTGCACGCTGTAACTCCCAGGCGTTGGGTCTGGGCACTATTCAGGTCCATCAGGAGCATGGCACTCGCCACTGCCTCCCCTCCCCTTTCTTCCCCTCCCAGTGATGCACCCAAGCAGCACCTGACTTCCTCCTGAGCATCGCGCCTCTGACGCTCAGACGCCAGAGTGAGGAAGATCTGGACCAGCCCCAGCACTCCAGCCAGCTGCAGGGCGCCTCCCAGGATGGGGCCGCGCAGGGCATAGGCAGCGGCAGCCAGAGCCAGCAGGGCGCCCAGGGGTGCCAGAGAATAGCCGTCGTCGGGAAGGGTGGCCAGGGGGAGGCGCACGCCGCCAAGGCTGAGGTTGGGGAAGGGGATGGGGCCCGGGGTGCTCCGGACTGGCAGGCCCGACTCAGTCCAGCCCCGGGGTCCAGCAAACCCGCCCTGCACGACATACACCTGGACAGCGTCGCCCAGGGCGCGTGCCACCTCAGGCCCCTTGGCCTTCGACAGGGATCCGTCCCTGGGTTGCAGAGGGGAATGAGGTGAGGGGCTTTTTGTATTGAGCGAGCCGCCATGGCAATCTCATTCCTTGAGTCGTCCACAGGCCAGCCTCACTGGAACGCCCACATAAGACTGCCTGTTCAGCACCTCACCCGTCCAGCAGGAGGACTGGGCAGCCTTTAGGAACCTTCACCTCGCTCTTCAGCTTTTCCACAAAGAAGCGCCCGGGTTTCTGTGAAAGGAAAAGTTCAGGAATGGGATTCAAGAATGAGTCCCTGAGAGGAGAGGGAGTGAGTCTGTGCGTCGAAATGGAAGGGCTTTGCGGTTTTAGGAATCTTACACAGTCAGGTTTAAGTCAGCTGCAAGGTGCAGAGAGGATCCACCCCCAGCATTCGTGCAGAATGTGCAAGCAGCAGGAAATGTCCACCAGCCCACAGGCTATGGACCTTGTCAGCCCCCCATGCCCTCAAGTCACAGCACAGGCCAGCGGCCAGTGTCCTCACCTGTGATGGAGGCTGCTTCAGTGGAGAGGCCTGCCTGGGTTTCACGTTTTCTCCTGCTGGACGGCCAGAGGATCTCAGAACCTTGCCAGTCCGCCCTTCACCTGAGGTGGGGCTGGCTCCCGGGCCAAGTCTCCTCCAGGCCTGTTTTGGCTGTTGAGCAGATGCCCTGGAGTCCCTCTTCACGCTGCGCAAACGCCCAGACGATGCTGACAAGGGAGGGACATCCTGCACAAAGATTTGTGACGCTGCTCGAGGGCCAAGGACAACGATCCAAGGTAGAATGCGGCACATGTGCGCGGGGTGACAGGAATGCTCAACCTCCCCGGCCCACCTCTTGGTATGGGAGCCGAATAGGTGACCGACCCGGACCAATGTCCGGAGACCCCTGGCCCTGTGCCTGGCCCTTGCTCCGGATGTCGATGAGCAGTGCCCCCGGGATGTCGCGCAGCATGTCGCGAGCCCCAGCCGCTGTCGTGCTCCTGCATGTCGTGGGCAGTAGCTGCCGCGTGAGCGGGAGGGTGGCCAGCGCGCCTAGGCCTATAATGAGCACCGCTGGGTCCAGTCCAGCATGGACCGTGGCCGGGATTTCGGGAACGATGATCTGATCTTGGACGTCTTGAGCCCATGCCATGGCGCCACTCGTGAGCCAATAAAAAGTCAAGTGTCCCGTGAAGACGACAGGAACTCGACGCGGGGCTTGAGCGACTCTGAGCTTCGCTGTGGGCTTGAGCACCTCCAGGGGGGGCCCGACCCCATGCGCTTTCACCATTGCTGTCATGCACACAGCTGCTCTGGTTCAATACTGCTGACCGCAATGATGAGGAAGGGATGTACTCTTGTCCCTTTGTTTCTCGGGCCACGGGAAGTGGAGCAAATCAGATCGTATCTTTCCCGCCATCACGTTCATAACCCAGTTGGCAACCTGTACAAATTCTGGAAGCCTTGTCCGTGTACAGCTGGTTGCAGGGTCCCTCACTGCACGACAGTCTGGTGCTCATTTGTGCCAGAACACGACACTCATTGAATGGAGACAGGAGGTCAGGCAGGTTCTTCAGCGCTGATGATTGCAAACCTCCCAAAGGCTTTGCTCCAGCGTCCAAGGAATGCATTGTGTGCTTCGTATGCACAGCAAGTGTCAGCTCGGCGCCCAACCCTTATAATGGACGGGCCGTCCATTGCAGGGGAATGCTGGTCCAGGCAGATGGCTCCAGACTAGGTCTCCATCGCATCCAGCTCTTTGAGCCGCTCCAGAATGACCTGCATGCCCATGAGGGAGGGAACATCGAGGGCTATCATCAACTGGACAGGCCTGCTTCCGTGTTTAATGGGTCAGTCAGCTCAGCGCGAAACATGTGGCACCACAGTGTGCGTCATCTGGGCAAAAATCAGGTCTATCCAGGACCTAGATAACAGTGGTGGTCCTCCCACACCAAGGCTGCTGTGGCTGACTCCCCTTCGACTCAGCCAGACCCACCCCCAAGCCCTGGCCCCATCCTGCCTTCTTGCTGGTCTCCTGAATCTCCCCACCGATGACAAACTCGTCCAGCAGGCAGTAGACTTTATGGAAGCCAAAAACGAGGTCCAGCTCGCAGACATTGCCAAAGTAATGGTCTAGGATCTGCAGGGCACAGGTGGACGAGTGGGAGGTCGGGTGCCTGGCAGGAACACGAGGGGTCCGAAGGGGCCATGGAAAAGAATGGGGAGCTTCACAACCCAAATACCTGCACGGCGCCGGCCCACTTCCCAGCGCTCTGCTGATGCTGTCATGGCCACCACGGCATTGCATGGGCAGGCCTACCTCGACAAACAGGTGGATGCTCTCGAGGTACAGGAGCTCGTTGTCTGTGGGGTCCACTGCAAACACAAAGTAGAGACCAGCATACCGCCGGTACACCAACTTGTAGGTCTTGAACTGCGGGGCACAGGTAAGGGTGTTCCGGTTGTGTACAGCATCAAGGTGCTGGTGGCCAGGATCAGGCACCATGTCATTCTGAAGGACGCCAGCAATGCACGGGACCTCCAGTCGCCTCCCCACCTCGATGAAGTTTGTAAATTTGGAGTCCCGGTTGACGATGAGTCGGTACACCTCGTCCTCCAGTCGCTTCTTGTCTTCATCCGACAGTGGGGTGTAGTACTTTGCAAGCCGTGCCTTGCCAGATCGATTGAGAAGGAGGAAGAACCGGATCATGGCTTAGCCCGGCGCGATCGTGGGGGGGCCCTGGGTGTAGCCGACCAGGCAATGGGTTGATCCACGTATCACCGACCCCTGGCTGGGAGCGACAGAGCGAAATAGATTGTCTATGTGCACGGAGGAGCGAGGCACCTGTTTGCGGGAGGTCCGACGTGTTGCAGCGCAGGTAACTGTCAAGGGGTCGATTTTATGGTGGGGACGTGTTAGCCAACCGGTTTATACCTGAGAAAAATGTGCACAGCGGGAGAATGCACACTCGCAATGGTACCCCCGCGGAAATGGCACTAATGCGCGAGCTCGGGCAGGGGCTTGGGCGCACAGGCTTGCTGGCGCGCCAGGTCAACCTCGGGGGAGGCTTGGGCCTCCAGGGGATGCCCACTCTCGTCGTGTCATGGCCAATCTGGCGGGGTTTTACTTCACACCCCAATTCTTCCGGGCAGATTCTTCCCTCACATGAACAGTGTGTGTTTCATCCTGGTGTCGGGTCTGTGTTGTGGATGCGCTACATGGGAAGAGATCGTCAGATCTCAGGATTGCATGGGCGAGAATGGAGATGGACGTACCATGCATGCAAGGCTGCTGGCAGCACAGCTGACTTAGTACGGTGCAAGACGGGTGACAGTGGAAAAGGAGTAGACAGAGGCAGGGGCCTGCGGCAACCGTATCAATGTCTGGGCAGGACAAAGGACCTGAGGACAATTAAACGGGAGGGATGTACCCACAATTTCGGTTGCGTGTGAAGGGGTTTAATATGGGAAGGGCCCTGCTAATGGGATCCGCTCGAGATGAGCAAGCTGGCGTTATGAGCTACGTTTTGGAAGGTACCACGGGGAAAACTGGCTTGGAAGAGGCACGGCAATGCGGATGAGTCAAGTAATGCGTCGGGTCAAAAAATCCTTTCAAAAATTGTTGTCGCAGGGGGATTTACGAGGTTTGAGCCGGGTCATGGCTGGCGCTCAACGGCACGCCTCTGTACACCTGGGATGGCGTCATGCTCTGCGTGGAGTGCTCTGCATGGGAAGGGATAGAGAGTGGATACTAAAAACGTGGGGTGTGGGGACGAGGTGGGGGAGTCCAGGTGGGAGTGATGATGAGCTCTCACAGACCCTGCAGACCCAGGCAGGAAGCAATGAGCACGGCCGGTCCCAACGGCACAATCCAGAGGCAAGCATCATTTCCCTCCTGCTTCCCGCTTTCCTACCCCATGCTCCCTCACCCCCGCTCTGCGACAGGCCCGACAGGGAGGAGTCGTGTCGCTTGAGGCCCTGCCCCGACCCGATGGACACCGTCAGGCCGCCTGGCCCGGCACGCATCAGCCTCGGCACCCCCCCCGTGCGGCCACCGGCCCCCTCAGCGCCCGGGGGCCGCAGCTCGGCGGGCAGAAACAGGGCGGTGCCATCGATGTGCTCCAAGGGGTCCAGGCTGGGGGGCCCGCCGCGGTACATGAAGGACTGCTCCAGGGAGTCTAGGGTGAGGATCTGCGTGCGCGGGGTGGGAAGGGATGGGGGTGGAGGGGAACGCGCGGGAGGTTTCGAGGGGTGTGGCGGGAAGGTCGGGGGCAGGACGCCTCGCCGGAACTGCGTGGACCCGCGCCATACCCGCTGCCCCACCATCCCCTGGTCTCACGCCAGCCATGGACCCAGGCCTGCACGCCCCCTTCACCCCTCTCCTCCCCCTCCACCCCCAAAGGCCCCCCGCCAGGCTCACGGAGTCATCCATGTCGCTCCACAGCTCCTCCATCTCCAGCGCGTCCCAGGCCTCATCGAACCCGCCCAGCGCCGCAAGCCCCCGCTTGCCCAGCAGCGAGGAGGTGGCGGGGGCGTGGGTGTGGGCGCCGAGGGAGGGCGCGGGGGCGCTCTCCGCCGAGGCCTCCAGCACCAGCGTGCGTGGGAGGAGGTCGGCGCTGAGATAGGACACGGCGTGCAGAGGCTGCTGCTGGGCGGTGGGCGTGTGGGGGGCCGCAGGGCTCGCGGGGCTCGGCGTGGCGCGCGCCTTCCCCGGCGCCGGCCTGGCCGGCGCCGCGGCCTCCGCCCCGGCGCGCAGCTTGGCAGCCTGGTCCTTGCTGTGGTGCCGCAGCTCGGCCACGATGTCGTCCTGAGGAGGGGGGTTTGATGGTGGAGGTGTAGGGAAGGGTTGGAGTGATTCCTGTGGAGACAGTTGCTGGGACCGGCGCGCTGAGGCGAGTGGAAATCAGGGAACAGGGAGGAGAAGGGTAAAGGGACACCAGGCAGGAGTAGGGGCCTGGGCGTGTCGTACCCTCACCCAGTGGTAGCACTCTGCCAGCCACCCCACCTGGGTCATGGCCTCGATCAGGTGGAACATGCAGCGGTAGGTCTCTGCCGGGAAGTTCAGGGCGTCGCACGCGAGGCCCTTGCAGCGCAGGGCCATGATGTCTGGGAGGATTGGGTGAGTGGGAGACGCGACGTGGGATGCACGGCCCCGGCACCATCCTCGCCACATTCAATGGGCAAGAAGGTGGCACAATGTCCAGCGACTGGTCCTGCAAACGGCTGCAGTACAACAGCCACGTGGAAACGACCGGCAGCCACGTCTTGTGCCAAAATTGTTAGGTGAGATTCCCAGCATGCCCATCCTCTGGCCCCATGCCACACACCCAGACGAGTGGACTCACCGTGGCACTTTGCAGCATGCACCTCGTGCTGGAAGCTGCCAAGGTACACCTGGGGAGTGCGTGGGTGGGGGCGTGCTCTGCTATGGCCGGATGCCCGCTCCCACCCCTGGCAAGTTCCCGACAAGTCGGGAAGAGTGCTGCTGTAACCATGACCCTAGCTCTACAGCCTTGCATTCGCGACCAGTCGCGAATCGCTCGTACCTGCTTCTTCTGCTCCCAGAAGTGCGCCTCATACCTCTGAGTCCGTCTGTTCGTGGGGTCGGGGGGGAGGAATGCTCGTGTCCACTGGCCGAGGAAGTTGCACGTGGGGATTCAACGTGCAGTACGCTTGACCGGAGTTCCCAAGCAACGGCCTAAAGCTCACTTGTGCTTGGTAATTCCTCTAAAACGCGGGGCAGCTTTGGTGGGTGGGCCCGGCCCGGGATTCAGCTCAGCTGCGAGCGAGAGGATGGATGGGCGTCGGTAATGAACCGGACGGAATCGCTACACACCAAGCAGCAGGATGACGACGCACCATCCCCCCCGGACAGCAACCTGGTAGGTTCAGTAGATTCGGGAGCAGTCTGAAGAAGGAGCCACGCAAGCTCTCGGCTGAGGTTTGCGTCCCGGAATCCTCTCCGGCCTGCGCGACTCCACGTCCAGGCTCCTGGTGCACGTCGCCGCCTTGCTTGGTGTAGAGCATCGTATAATGCGTGTCCAAGCTTTCTGGCGCGGAATAACGAATGCCAGATCCTGTGGTAGGAAACCGGAGAGATGCCTGGTTGACGTACACTCTGGTCTTGGTCGAGAAAGAAGGGTGGAATCCCATACCTTGAACGGAGAGAATCTCGGCGACAAACCGGAATACGCACCACCCCTAGGGCACCCGGGATGGCTTCGAAGAAAAATAGGAAGCAAGGATTCCCGACAGGCATGTCACAACTGGAGCGCAAGAAGGACTTGGCCGGAAGGAAGCCGGCCTGAGGTGGCTCCGGTTAGCCCTAATGAAATACCCCAGTCCCCGCAGCAACACCCCTCTGAGTCTCATGAACAGCCAGATCTCACCGTTGCAAATACGATCTCGGTCGACCGTCGAGTTCATGAAGGCCGAAGAACTTGCTTAGAGTGTTCGTAAGGTGAGGATCCGTGGTGATTTGGCGAGAACGAGCTGGGGGATATCGAGAGCCCGGGTCGAAGAATATGGTGGTAGGACCGATTAAAATGTCAGGGGTACTTTCACGGAGTTGTGGGGTCTCAAGCTGCAGAATACTACAATACACACGAGTTTTATGCCGAGGAACACACGTAGAGTATAGTAATACCGCAGATGCTTGCCACACAGGTGAATGGCCGCAGTGCGCACGCTGCAAAATCGCAAGAAAAGGCGGTGCACCTTCGCCCGGAAACCTAGGTGGAGCGACATCCTCGGATTGGACAATCCGCTCAGCGAGTGAGCAGCGCCACGCGAATATTATGTGGGCACCTTGGGTCACACACATGAAACACACATCTGATGCAGGTGTCTTCGATGGAATGGGAGGCCGCGAGCCGCCTTCCTGCGCTGTTGTCGGGAGCTTCCCGTATCCATCGCTGAGCCCTACCTCTCCAAGACGGAGGGCCACCGCACTCGGAGGGTGTGAAACCCTTTTCAGATTTTCAGGTACCACCATAAAGTGCAACCCAAACGCTTGCTGCACCCCGGTCATGTGGCTTGCCACCGAGGAGCCTGCGGAGGTGGAGCTCCGGTGTGCCATGGCAGCTGGGTGCAGCCAGTCGTGGAGGGAGGTCTTTGCTCACAGTAGAGGACGGAGCGAGGCCTGGAAATCATCCTAATGAGCAAATATGCACAGCTTGGTCGAGGGTGGAGCATGAGACAGTGGTGGCAGCATTTACCATTGCCTGACAACACTGAGGCCCACCCCAGCACTTCCCCCCCTGTGCTGTGAATGGCCAAGGGAAAGCTTCTCCGCCTGGCTACCGGGATAACTAGCCGTGGCAGAACTGGGAATGTTTGTGGCTTCCGGACATAGATTGAGAGATGGTAGCAGCACCATGTACTGCTTGTTTATTTAGGCCGACAAGGAGGGAGCCGAGGGTACACAGTACGGGGCGTCGAAAATGGGAAAGCCATGGGTGGTTGTCGGGATGGTGGCAGGGGAGGTGTGCCAACGGAGGCAATTCTGAGTATAATAGCAATGTTTCATGCGTGTTTCGTCATGGGCTGGTGGGCGTGAGTGGGGGCACTCGACCTCCTTTCATGTAGTAGAATCAGGCCTTGCATTAGAAACAGATGCCTGCTGCTCTCAAGCCACTACGCGGTTTGTAAATGTGCAGGAAAACATACATCGTACCCCCCCTCGGTTACGGTGGGATGTACCAGGCCCCCGAGGCAGTGCAGGCGTCCTATGGGCTCGAGGCTCCACCGAGATGATCCATGCAGCACATTCTCGCTCATGTGGCTCACAAGGGGGAAGGTCCACCCCTTGCCGAACTGGAATAGAACGAGGATCCCCTCCCATCCTCCTGGCGGTGTTTTCGACACCTGCAGAGGTCAGACTGCCAATTTCCTTCCCTCACAACGCCTTGGCTCTCCTGGTGCCTCTCGATCCCCTCTTCCTCCCCTCCTCCCCCCCCCCCCACCACCCTCCTCCGTCACCCATCACAGTGTTTACATGCACAGCAGCGGGCCAGCCCCGCTCCTCCGCCTCAGAGCTTGTCCTCGTACTCGCCAAGCGGGGAGGGCTCGGGCTTGAGCCCCTTGCGCTTGCGGATGTCCAGCACCAGGGTGTTGGCCTGGGAGCCGGCGTTGAGGGGGTCGGAGGTCATGACCTCCCAGTGGTCGAACACGGACTGGGGGAAGGCCTGGCCTGCAGTGGCGGCGCGCAGGGTGGAGGTGAAGCCGAAGGACTCGATGACGGGGAGGTAGGCCTTGAGGTTGAAGATGGGGGTGCCGGGGCGCTGGGCCTCCTCGAACACCATGCCGCGCTTCTGATTCAGCACGGAGTAGACGCCGCCCATGGCCTGCTCGGGGCACTGAATCTCCACCAGGTACACGGGCTCCAGCAGGCGCGGCTGGGCGGTGAGCTGGGCCGCGTACATGGCGCGGCGCGCGGTGGGGATGATCTGGCCGCCACCGCGGTGGATGGCGTCGGCGTGCAGGACCACATCGCACACCTGAAGAGATTGTTTTGGGTGTGTGTGTGCTTGGGTGAGGAGGGTAGTGGGTGTGTGGCGGTGGACCACTCGCGGGTTGGTGAGAGGACGGGGCGTCGGCATGGGCACCCCCCCCCCCTCGCCAACCGGCGCAGCCAGCCGCCCAGCAGACCCTTTGCCCAGCAGGGATCACCTTTACCCGCCGGGGATCACCGTTTGCTTGCGCCCCCCCCCCCCCCCCCCCCTCCTCCTCCACCCCACCACCAAAACCACCCCCCTGACCTCAAACACGATGGCGCGCATGTTCTCCTCGGCCAGCACGCCCTCCTTGGAGGCCCACTGGAAGGCTGCCACGCAGGAGTCCTTGATCTCGTTCAGGTACTGCACGCCCTTGGTCACGTCGGTGAGCATGTTGGGGCCGGTGGTGTCGGGGCCGAAGCACCAGATCTTCTTGGCCAGCTCCTTGTCCCAGCCAAACTCCTCCGACAGGATCTTGGAGCGGATCTTGGGGTCGTCGCGGGGCCCCACCTTGCCCTCGTCGATGGCCTCGGCCAGGCCCTCCTCCATGGGCCGGGCCTGGAGGTAGATGCGGTTGTGCTTGTTGGGCGACTTGGACATGACCACATGGTCGGACATGATGTTCACGGTCTCGCGGAAGGCGACCACGGGCTCCGACACCCGGATCTCCGCGCCGCCCATGAAGTCGTCCTGCAGGTCCTTGAGGCAGATCTCCAGGTGCAGCTCCCCCGCGCCGGCGATGATGTGCTCCCCCGTCTCCTCGATGGAGCACTGCACCATGGGGTCCGACTTGGCCAGCCGCTTCAGCCCCTCCACCAGCTTGGGCAGGTCGGAGGCGTGCTTGGGCTCCACCGCTACGCGCACCACGGGGCTCACGCTGAACTTCATGGCCTTGATGGTGTGTGCATCCTCGCACTTCTCGTCCGTCAGCGTCGCGTTCTTGGTGATGAACTGGTCCAGCCCCACCAGGGCCACGGTGTTGCCGCAGGGCACGTCCTCCACCGCCTCCTGGCGACGGCCCATGCACATGACCGTGCGCTGCACCGTCTTCACGTACAGGTCCTTCTTGGTGCCGGGGACGTAGTTGGGGCCCATGATGCGCACCTTGCGCCCCGTGGCGATGCGGCCGGAGAAGACGCGGCCGAAGGCGAAGAAGCGGCCCTTGTCCGCCGCCGGGATCATCTTGGACACGTACATCATGAGGGGGCCCTCGGGGTCGCAGGCGCGCATGGCACTGGCGTAGGCGTCGTCCAGGGGGCCCTCGTACAGCACGTCCACGCGGTACTTCTGGGCGCGGGCGGGCGAGGGCAGGTGCCAGATCATCATCTCCAGCAGCGCGGAGTGGGCGGGGAGCCAGGTCTGCATCACGCGCTTCATCAGCGGCTTGCCCACCAGCTCCTTGTCCTCGGACTTGAGCAGGTGCAGCACCTCCAGCTTCTCCAGCAGCGCCCACAGCTTGTCCTTGGAGTCGGTCATGGCCGCGTCGATCACGGTGCGGATGGGCTCGTAAATGAACTGGCAGAAGCCGCGCTTGCAGGAGGCCGACCCCGTCTCCTTCTTGGTCCACTTCTTGGTCTTGGGGTCGAAGAAGTTGTCGCCCCACAGCTTCTCCATCATCTTCTTGGTGTCCGTGCCAAACTTCTTGGCATACAGGTTGGCAAACACCGTCAGGGTGAAGGCCCAGCCGTGCAGGCCGGCGGAGAAGGAGACGGTGCCCGCCTCGGGGTGCACCTGAAGGGTTTGGGTGGGGGTCGGGGTGTTGGGGTGAGTGACTCCGGGGGGCGGGCGGGGGAGGCATGAGGAATGAAGCGCAGGGGGTGCGCAGGGGAGGAGGGGGTCCGAGGTTAATGCATCCCCAACCCTGCACACACCAGGCAGGAGCGTGTCGCCAGGGCCAGCCTTCCCCTCCTCCCTCCCTCCCCCACCCACAGACCCACACCAAGGACCAACCTGGGTGTCGCCCAGGTCGTCGTCGGCGTAGGTGGCCATGATGACGTTGGCGTTCTCGATCACGCGGCGGTAGGACAGGTAGGCCTCCTCTGGGTCCAGCATCAGCTCCAGGAAACAGCGGTCGATCTTGTTGATGGTCAGCACGGGGCGGATGCGCTCGCCCAGGGCCTGGCGCAGCACCGTCTCGGTCTGCACACACACGCCCTCAATGCAGTCCACCACCACCAGCGCGCCGTCGGTGATGCGCAGCGCGGCTGTCACCTCAGAGGAGAAGTCGACGTGGCCTGTTGGTGTGGGTTGGGGGGATGGGGGGGTGAGCTGTGTGTGAATGGGCTGAGATTCGTGGCAAAGGGTTCAAGGTGCATGCAAGTACCATGGGTGAGCACATGCAGAGGGGGCAAAACTGACAGGGACCTGCTGGCGCAGGCGCCTGAACGGGCCTCACGATCGCACACTGCCAATCCTGTGCACAAGGCACAGGAGGTGCCCAGCCACCCTGAACTGCCCCCCTCTCTCAAGTCGAGCGCACCGGGGGAGTCAATCAGGTTGATCAGGAAGTGGTTGCCGTCGCGCGCGCCGGTGAAACCCTTCAGGTCCTCGTCCTCCATGACGTAGTACAGGGAGATACCGGTGGACTTGATGGTGATGCCACGCTCCTGCTCGTCGGCGCGGGTGTCGGTCAGGCGCTGGTCGCCGGCCTGGGGTGACGAAGGAGGGGAATGGTAGGTGGGTGCAGGCATGGCAGCAGGCCGGCCAAGGGCAAAGGCAAGGCAGCAGAGGGCAGTGGTGCACTCACCACGAGCCTGATCCACCAGCCCTCAGCCCCAACTCTTGTCTCAGCGTAAATCGCCCTCCCACACGCACACACCTGCTCCATGGCAATGATGCCGGCGGCAGCCACCAGGGAATCAGTCAGGGTAGACTTTCCGTGATCGACGTGGGCAATCACACTCATGTTCCTGATGTTGTCCTTGAACTCCATCAGGGCACGGATCTGTGGAGGTGTGGGGAGTGAGCGGTTTTGAGGGGCGGCCACGAGGCCCGGCGGTGTCGAGGTCCGACCACGGCCTGCGGAGATCCATACACGGCATGACAATGCCTGCTCATGCATGCCACGCCAATCCGAAGAGCCAGCTTGCCTCGTCCATAGTGAACTGTGGGGCGCAGGGAAGGGACAGGGTGAGTGGTGCGACGTGCGCGGCGGGCGAGGCACTCGGCGAGGAGAGTATGCAGGCGAAGAGAGCGGCCACCCGGGGTCCACCACAATGGCATCTGCACATCGCAATCATTTCCAGTGGTGAATGCCGGGGTCTCTCCGACCTCATCCAGCACGCTGCCCGACCGGGGGCGCACCTTCACCATCTTGGCGGTAGTGTCCGGGGAATACGGCCACTGGCGAAGAAAGAGGGCCCTGGTAAAGGATGGTGGGAAGGTAGCTGTGGTTTTCGCACAGCCGAAAAGGACAGGGTCAGGAGCCAGGATCGGGGTTGTAGCCGGCGGGTCTGGGGCAGCCCCTGCGCTCGCGATCGACCCAGGAATGGCACCTCGCAGATGCTTTTGGGGGGCACAGGGATGCCTGAGGCCACCATCTTCGGCAAGAGGTTGTTCCCTCATCTATCTCGCGTCAGTCAAGTACCTAAGGAGTTTCTAGACATTAAGTGACCACTCAACTACTATTCAAATGCCGGGGCCTCTTTTGTCTCCTGGAAAAGCAGCAAGTGGGGAGTCTACCTGGTGGCCCCTCTTCCAGCCTTCCACAGCTTTGACTCCCACTGAACAGGAATTGCAGCTCTATCTATACGCTCAGTACACTTTGTGTCGAGGAAAAGTCTTGAGGGGGTGTTGCGAGTCAAGGGGTGCACCAGGGCGAAGTCAGTACAGGGAGTGAAGAAGGGGCCCAAGATGGGGGGACCACAGGAGAGTGGAGGACGAATGACTTGGTGAGCATCTGCCAGCCAAACAGGAAACTTCTCAGCAGCAGAGCTTTCAATGGTCGGCCCGGCTGCACTTTTCACTCGTCCTTGCTGCGTTTCTTCGTCTTCGTCTTCTCCTTTTTCTTTTTCTTCTTCGTCCCATTTTCCCGGGCTTCCTCACCAGCCGCATCTCCAGCGCTCTCCCGCCGCTTGCGCTTCGCGGTACTCTTGCCGTTCTCCTCTTTATGCGCCTCCTCCGCCACCGCCACCTCCTTCCTCGGCTGCCCGGGGTATCCCACGACCTCCACGGCACCGGTGTCGGGCTCTCGGAGGGCTCCCTTGAGACTCACAAACTGACCCGTCTGTGTGACACTGCGCGACGAGGGTGGTTGAAAAACATCAAGGGTGAAGAGGCTGGTGTGAGTGTTGTCGGCATGGTGTGCTGCGGCGGATGTCCTTGTCAGAAATCCAGTTGAAATTAAATGGCCACTAAAGTTCAATTCAGCATTAGCTGTGGTAGTGCTCTCGCAAGCCCCTCCCCTAAACAGGCAAGGAGTGCACGGGGGGGGGGCCCTTTCAACCCCCATCCCAACAGCATAGCACCCTACCTGAGGACATCGAAGACCACAGTGGTCCCTATGCTGATGACATGGCGGGGGTTGCACAGGGACACCCAGGCAGACTGGGCTGGGCGGGATGCCAGGTCAGCACGGATCGCGTCGGCGCCGATGGACGCATTCACGATTCCTGCGACCAGCAGACCAATGAAGTCGCGGCCCACCTTGTTGACAACGCCCACTGTTAGGAATGGAGGAATGGTGGGCAGGACTTGCAGGGTGTGGAGGGGAGGCGTCGAGGCAGACTCAGGCATGGGATACAGGAAGATACAGATCCACTCTGCAACGGTGCAAGATCCAGCACAGCAGCTCAGTTCCCATAAAAGCAGCAGTAGAGCAGTGACCCATTAAAAGTGAAACAAATCAGTACACCATGTGTCTGCAAACCCACACGCAATGCGCACCCAATCGGCACCCGGGCTTGGGGTTGAACAGCGTCACGGTCGCCCCCACGTCCACATGGGTGTAAGGAAAGTATGGCTGAATGAGGCCACGGTGGGAGGCGAGTGTGGTGCTCCCATAGGCCAACACGATGCCCCCCAAATCCTCGGAATATCTGCTTGGTGGGTGGTAGGCATGAACAATGAGCTCAGAACGAAGGCTGCTTGCTGTTATCGCAATGCAGACTCCATAGGTGCCTTTATTTCTATGCTATACCGTCACGAATCTGTACAAGGGGCCCCCAGCTCGGTAAACTTGAACCCTGCAGCAGTCCCCAAGCACCAGTTCCAAGGGCAAGTTCTCACACAAAGCAATGGAAGGTAACACCCCAGGGACACAAACCTGAGCAGCAAAGTATTGAGCAGCTCTTCTACTCCGGCCAGGCTCGTCTCTGACAGCGCAGGATGCAGGGATACTTGGAATTGAGCCTTCACCCTCCGCAGGGTGCCATCGCTCATGGTTAAACTCCACCTCAGCAGTCCATTCTTGTCGTGCGCGTGTATTTAGTAGATGTCTTGGATATATAATATGGTGCTGGAGTGCTCTACTTCGGGAGGTGCTGATAATGGCGTTCGATACCAGAAGTGGAAGTGCTGCACCAGTACGCCTGCGGAATGCGGGGTTCGTCCGGGCAACTCGATGCTGCGTGGGGCAACGCAGAGCGAGGTGCTGCAATGCGATGCTACGCTTGAGTGGTCTATCCGCTGTCGACTACATGCATACGTGGGCGCCCCAGAGAGCCGAGGAATCATGCATGCGCTCACTGTCGCCGTCTGAGCGGGTTCCACCGCGCCTTCACTCCGCGGGAAAATACCAGGGCGCTGAGGTATGGAACCAGACAGAACGGGGCCAGGGCCTTGCACTCATTTATCTGTACAGAGGGTAACTCGCCCTATTTGCTTGATTTAAAGGATTGCATATCCGCAACACCGCACTCATTGACGAGAGATCGGCATCCAGTGACACCGCCGTCATGACTGAGGCCGTGGTGGACGAGGCCTCCAAAAGGCCCCTGGAGGAGCCTGAGGTGGAAGGTGTGGATGCCAAGAAGCAACGTACCGACGAGGGGAACGACGCTGATGAGGGCAGCGACGCCATGGAGGTCGAGCCACCATCCACCAGCCAGCCGGTCACTGTTGGGTACCGTACATTTGAGAACGGGGCGGCCCTCCACGAGTACTACCAGGGTCTACACTCCAAGCTGAGGAGCTACCAGAACCTCAACGATGTGCGCTTTACGCTTGGATGGGGTGCAGGGTTCCCGATTGTCTGAGATACCAGGGATAGAGGCATGGGGTGTGGGATCCTACCAAGCAAGTCACCCCATCTTCCCTCCCATCCTCCTTGCAGTACGAGTTTCACATGGTCCTGGAGCTGATCAAGAAAGGGCACCCCGATGCTGAGCGCAAGGTGCCTGGTGGTGACATGTGGCTGCCTGGGGTGATGCCGCTGGGGCTCAAACAGGTTGTTTCGCCGTGCATCAGTTGATGCATCGTGCTGGCGGCACTTGGGTCGGCAGCAGCCTGGTGTCGCCAGACTGGACGTGACATGCGTATTACAACAGCTCTCTGCCTCCCCCCCCCGCCCTCGCAGCTGGCAGGTGGCGTGGCTGCCATCCAACTGCAGAACAAGGAGTATGATGGTCGCCAGACCTCATGCTTCCACCTCATCCGCCCGGATGGCAGCGTGGAGGATGTCTCCTACAGGTGTGTTTCACTGGCAGTTTGCAGGGGGAGCACTGGTTCGGCCCAGAGTGCCTGATGCAGAGTCTGGCGCATGGCTGGATGACATGTGCGGTTTTGGCGTCTCAGCCTGACGTCAGGATGCATTGGAGTATATACATGGACCTTTGGGGCTGCAGCAGTTGCAAGCATGGAATCCGTCTTTAATTAGACCTCACCAATTGCAATCACCCCTACCCGGCACAGGAAATGCATTGCCAGCTTGGACGCCACCGTGGCAACCCTGCTGGCCAAGGAGGATGGGAAGAAGGCATCGCCAGCCAAGGCGGGAGACGCCAGGTCCGGCGCAGCCAGGAGCTCAACCAGGAGCGGCCCAACCAGGAGCGGCAGCGGCGGCCGCGGCAAGCCCCGTGGGGGCAGGTCTGGCGGGCGCGGGAGGGGCCGTGGCAGCAGGCGGTGAGGGCCGTCTGCTCCCTCAGCAATTTCTTTGAACATGTCTTGTAAGCTCGCACGTCCGGTATATGCTGCTCACGCCTTTACCCTAGCGCTGGATGTGGAGTGGAGCGCTGCCATGGATCAGGATGCGACAGGTTCGAATGGTGGTATTACCGCGCGCTCTCTCCGGTCCATTGCATGGTTACCTTTGTGTATATGATCCGCTCCTTCGCTGAAGCCGAGGCACTCACACTATATATTAGAATACGTTTTCACTGCTTAAATAGCGTTGGTCCGCAACTCGACCAGGCATGCACCTTCCACTGCCCCTCGGGCCAAGCGTCCGACACAGGGACCTTGAGGTGGCGCGATGCGATGCCGAGCGCCCTGTCCCCGATCCCTTTGCAGTCCTGCGAGCTCAAGGAAAGGAAGTGCAATCCATCTGCCTCCAGGAGGATCGAGGCGTGCTGTATGCTGGGTAAGAAGCCAGTGGCACATGACCCACTCCATAGTGGTGGGCTTTCATGGACGAAGTAACCGCATTTGGCGGTTACACTGCCACGAGCCGGTAGTACAACACGAAGTCTGAATTTTCATGCACTCATGGGATGGAATAAGTCCCGATGAGGTAATTTGGTACTTGTACACATGGACACAGGCATGCAGACGGCAGTCTCACCGTCTGGTCTCTGGAAAGCATGCGCCCCGTGAACACCCTTGCCCTCCATGACCCTCTCTCTGGGATCCTTGGACTGATCGGAGATCCAGGAGGCAAGTGGATCGTGTCGCAGGGCCGCAGTGGCCCAGCCCAAGTGCACAGGGCGGACGACTTGCTTCCCGGGGCAGGAGGAGTCGGCGAGACCAGGTGCGCCTAGGTTCAGACTTTCATGAGCAGGTGCTGTACGCCTCCACATTTGCAGCGTGGCATCCTGGAGGAGGAGATCAAGATCCTCCCCCCTCGCCCAGAACGTTGACTCTCATTCCACCCCTTCCTCTCTCCCTGCAGGTGCAATCCGATACACATTCAAAGGGAAGGCGACTCCTTTGCCGCCCCAGCCCTCATTCTGCCGCCCAGCCCCGACCAGGCAGCCGCCCCCCTGCCAGGCCTCCGTCCCGGCGTCCCGGCCCTGGTCCTGCCGCATGCCGAGGGTTTTGCCGTGGCATGCACGGGCTCCGGGCGGCGTGTTGTCGATGTCCCCTCCCCCCAAGGAGCAGGCATGCTCACCTCGCTCCTGGCCTGTTGTGCTTGGAGCACGAGAGACGGCCCGCACGTCCTGGCAGGGTACGAGTCTGGGATGCTGGCCCTGTGGCGGCTAGCGCAGCCGCCGGCCCCGCTGGCGAGCTGCGCGCTGTCCAAGCAGCCCCTGCTGGCGCTGGCCCGTTGCCCAGCGAGGGGGAGGGGCGTGGCTGCCGGCCCGCGGGCTGCCCTGCTCCCCTTCAGGCTGGAGCTTGGAGGAAAGCGTGAATCGGAGCGTGAAACGGAGCATGAGGTGGATCAAAGGACATCTGCCCCGACGTCGGACGGCAGTTCCCACAACGACGACCATCAATGGGCCGAGGCTGCGCCCCGGATCAGCAGGGGCACGAGGGTTCCTCTGTCCAGTGCCGGGGTCAACTGCCTGGCCCTGCGCTCCGACGGCAGGCTCCTCGCCCTCGGTGGCTGGGACGGGCGGGTCAGGGTCTTTGCCTTCCCCTCCCTACGGCCGCTGGCGTCGCTCGCGGTGAGTGGGGAATGCAGTGAACTGATCTGATCCAGTGCTCAGGGGTGTCTGTATTGCAGAAGATGCACCTTGAATATCTGGAGCTCAATCTCAGGCTCGTGGGCAGGGAGGAAGACCTCAGCATGCCGTTCATGACCAAGGCACCACAACCCTCTCTCTATCCTCCGCGCACTTCAAATCGCACTCCTGCCCACCTGCCCCACGTATGCAGTACCACACCGAGTCCGCCACATGCCTGGCATTTGGCACCCCTGCCTCTGGCCTGCTGGCGACAGGGTCGAGGGACGGCAGCATCGCACTGTACATTCTGTACCCATTTGCAGAGAAGCAGGCAGGCAGCGAGCCAGAGGATGGACGAGATCTCGAGCCCTGAGGCAGGAGCGCCCATTCGATGGCGTGGGCCCCTCCCTCCACGAGCGCACTGCCACGCAGAGACCTCTGCCAGCCACGCACCGCCGCCCTATCCACCAGTGACCAGTCAGAACCAGGCCATCCACCAGATGTACATCTGCCCCAGGTTCTCCTTGTTGCTGGCCTCCTCGATGAGGTGCCGAGCCTGGCCCTGACAGGACAGCGGGAGGCAGGGGGTGGAGCTCACACCCAGCAGCGTGCCCTGCAGCCGGCCTGTAGTGATGGCAGGGGCGAATGAACTTGGTTTCGTTGACAATATGTCCCACACTGTGCCGAGCGCGGCCCGGATCAAAACCTGAGTGCCCCATTGAGCCCCGCCCACCCTGCTTGCAAGCCTGCTCTCAAGTCGGACTGCTCCACACTGGCCCGCCACGCAAGAACCCCGGAGGGCCCGACCTCCTACTGACCCTCCCTGTAACAATCAGTCGCCCAGCCCACCCTGAATCGTGGCCAGGGCATCCTGGGCGTGCGGGTTCCCGGCGTCGGCGTCCTTCTTGGCCCCCGCACGCACCCACTCCACCAAGGGGTCGTGCACGAAGGTGTCCATCACGCTCAGGATGGTGCCCTGGTGCCGCCGCAGCACCTGCGGTGGCGAGCGAACATGAAGAGAGTATGCCCGCGTGAGCTTGGGTTTGACGACGCTCTGGCGACTGCTTGACATCCACCCCCCCCCCCCCCCAGAACTGAACCCCTGCATGCTCACCGTCAGCGTCAGCTCGCAGACGGCCACAAAGACGCCCTCCACGCCCGTAACGCCACACCCGTCCACGACGTTCTGCGTCAGCCTGCTTGGGGAGGGGGTAGGGTTTGAAAGCGGGGATGTTGGCACGAAGGCCGATGCCCTTACGCGGAAGCCACGTGCCGTCCTCTTCCCCCCATACCTAAAACAACCCCTCCCCCCCCCCTCTTCCTCGGACTGGCCTGAAGGGCACGACCTCCGGCTTCTCCAGGGTCAGCCCCTTGTCAAAGAGGCAGGAGAAGTCAACGTGCACCACGTCCCCCGAGGCCTGGTCCAGCAGGATGTTTTCGCCGTGGCGATCGCCCAGACCCACCAGGTGCCCCACCATGGACCAGACAGCGGCGGTGCGGGTGAAAGCGAGGCGGGCGGCCAGCCAGGCGGAGGGCTCGGGGAACTTGTTCAGCAGCCAGCGGTGGAGGCGGGGGGGGAAGAGGGCCAGCACGCCATCGAGTAGGTCTGCCTTGCTCCGGGACTGGTTGGGGTGGGGGGGAAGGGGGGGTGGCAGATGCTCATAGGAAGAGGCAAGGTGATGCGGGGGGAAGTGCTGGATGGAGTCCAGCGGTGGGCGTGCCGGACGCTGCATGCCTGGGAGGGCAGCATCTCAGGCTGTCTGGCAGCGAGGGGAACGAGTCGAACGGTACTGACCCGGCCACCTTGGATATTCTGGACGCCTCCTACACCCCCCCGCACCCACCCCCACCCCCCCACCCCACCCCAACACACACACACACCTGCGCGGCGGCGTCGTACATGGCCTTGATCTTGCCGTTGGTGGTCTCGCGGGAGAAGAGGCCCTCCGCCGCATACACGTCCTGCACGCAGTGCCTCAGGCCCACCGTGTGCGGCACCCACTCCACCAGCCCGCAGTCCTCGGTCAGGGGGAGCACGGCGAAGCGACGCAGGCTCAGGCCGCGCCGCCGCGCGCGAGGGTCCTCCAGGAACAGGCGGTTCAGCACCCCCGCGGCCTCCATCAGCCGCGTGTCCTTGCGCAGGTCGTCCTTGGGCTTGGCCAGCAGGGTGTAGGACTGGCCATCGGAGCCCAAAAAGGACACCTATTCAGTTTGGTGTGGGTGTAAGAGGGTGGGAGAGGCGGTGTTAGGGGGGGTGAGGGAGTGATTCTCAGCCAACGCGGGGGCTGGAAGGGCATCGCGGGCGAGGTTTTGTGTCTTGGTCCTGGGAGCACATCTCCACGTCAACCATCAGGGGTACAGCCGCCTCATTCCCCACCTTCCTCCTGCACATTATTCTTACCTTCTTGGGGACCTGGAGGGAGCGCAGCACCTCGATTTCGTCCTCCATCCCGGCGATGGTGATGGGCTCGGCAAAGGGCCTCCAGCCGGGGATGTGCTTGCCGTCTGGCGGCAGCGTCACCGTCAGAGCTGGGGAGGGGGACGGGGCTGGGTCCCTTGCCCGGAACTCTAGGCATCCCGCGCCTGTAGAGACGCAGTCACATTGCAGAACAACACAAAAAAAACTCACACAAGCACATGAACCGCCAGTTCCTGGATACTATCTACCCCAGTAGCGATGACTCACCGGCCATGGTCGGCATGAGGGCGTGCAGTGGGAACGTGCGCACTAAGTGACTGAACTCCTTTCGCGCTGAGATCCTGGACGGGACGCACGGGTAGGGTGGGTGATCGGCATTGTCTGGGATTGAGCGCTCAAAAGAGCACGACGCTCCGCAACGGGGTGGTTGAAATCGAACGAGCTTGGCGGCAACAGGTGCGGCCACTATTAGAGATTATGTCCAATGGCCGGCGCCCTGACTGTCCAAGACCTGATCATGCTGATTGTATCAGAGGGAAGACGATGCAATCAGGGGTCCCTCCATCCTCCCCCTCCCCCTTCGCCACCCCAATACCACTTACTTCTGCCGGGCCTGGTGGAAACAGAGTCGAATCAGCTGCTCGCAGAAAGATCCCATCTCCGAGAAGAGGCGGCGCTCGCTGTCGCCGGACACAGCCTTCTTTGCAGCCTGCGGGAGGAGAGTGGGGCAACTGAGATGTGGGGGTGGAAAGCAACCACCCAAGGGATTTCATTGGTAAGATGTTAGCGCACGATGCCATGCATGGATGACCACAGGTCACAGCAATACAAAGGAAATGCAAGTACAAACAGTGCATTCCCCCCCTCATTCAGCAAGCCCAGCAAATGCGGCCACCTGGACAATGGAATTGGCGGCAGACCGCCTGGAGGCCACCCCGGACTTGGACACTGCTGCCAGCGCCCAGAGTGCCTGTGGGTGTGCAGGTCGAGGCGGGCTCTGGAAAGGAGGGAGGAACCCTGGCAAACACACCCCGCCATGCTTTAGCAGGGTCAGGCCTACCACACAGGGTGCCGTGCTGAGTGAGAGTAGACTCCCTCGTCAAGCCAGGATGAACAGGGTCTGAAAGCTTCTCCATGCCTGGTGTTATGTCTGAATCATACCCTCGCCCCTTCCATTCAAGCCGACTCCAAGACCCTAAGCCTCGTAAACCCCCTTTCCCCCCTTTCCTACCGCACCTGGTGGGGGTAGACCTGGGTCACCCGGGTGATGATGCCGCGCGTCACCCCCGCCACCTCGGCATCCGGGTGGCAGATGCGGGAGGTGAGCTGCGGCAGCGCGGTCAGCCAGACGTGCAGGGGCACGCTGCGCGCCAGCTCCTGCATCAGCGCCGCCACGGCGGCCGCACACTCGCGGTCCTTGGCGCTGGGGGCGGCCGCCGCTGGGCCTCCCTGGCCGCCGCCGCCGTGCTCGAACCAGAGGGTGAGCAGGCGGGGGAGGGCCTGGTAGACGTGCCGGCTGCCCAGCACCAGGCCCCGGCCGTACATGCGCAGGACCTCCAGCAGGATCTCCAGGTAGGGCCGGTCCTCGCCCAGCTTAAGCTTGGACCGGCCGTGCAGACGGTCCATGTGCTTCCCCGCGGCCGCACGCGTCTCGCCCCGCTGCCGCGCCCGCGCGTCCAGCAGCATCTTGTCCAGGAACACGGCGTAGCGGAAGTAGACGTCCTCCTTGCCTGGCTGGAGCGAGATGCCGCGCTGGAACAGGCCTGCGGGTTGGTGGGGGTGAGACGTGTGGTTGGGGCTCGGATGGCATGGGTTCCGGCGTCCCCTTGTTGCGCATCACAACATGTTCCAAGTCACCACCCGGGGTCCCCTGCCAGTCCTCTGCGTCTGGCAACTCTGGCGCGTGCCCTGCAGGCAGGAAAACAGTCCCACGCATGGCATCGTCACACCACCCCAGGCCCACCTATGATGTCGTCCTGCGTGCCCTGCCCCGAGTCCGCCATCACCCGGGCCAGCTTCACGACCACTCCAGCCTGGCACCTGGAGGTTCAGGGGGTGGAGTTGGTGGGCGGAGGGAGGAGGAGAGGCGTGTAGGTTTGCTTTGTTTGATGGTGGCTCGAGGACATTCACAGAGGCCATGCCACTGCTCATGTGCGATGGAAGATCTGGAGGCCTGCGCGGCCCTCCACATCCTCAAGGCCCAATCATGACTGCATCCCAAACCACCGCCCTGCCCTGCCCCCCTCCCTATCCAAGCAACAAACGCACTCGACGATATCATCCCCCGCCCCCGCGCCGCCCGCCAGCCCCGCGGCCAGCGCCCGGAGCTCCTCCACCGCCTTCCAGGGCGGCGCGGCCTCCGCCAGCAGCGCCGCCCGCTCCAGGATGGCGCCCGGCACGCCGGCGCGGAGGGCGTGCAGGCCCGCGCTGGCCGCCGCGGCGTGCTCGCCGTTGGTGCGGCACAGCGTGCCCAGCGCGAGCCAGCACCGCGCGGCCGCGCAGCCGTCGCCGGCCAGGCCTGCGGCGGCGCGGCGCAGGGACAGCAGGCGCTCGCGCACCGTCAGCGTGGGCTGGCTGGCCGCGAGGCGCGCCGTCCAGCCCAGGGCCAGGTTGTTGGGGAGGTCCACGGGGAGGGGGGGTGTGCCCGCCGTGCGGCACGCCGGCAGCCAGGCTGTGTGCGGTGGGTCATTGTCGGTGTGTGGGCGGGATGGTGTGTTTGTTTGTGTGCTCGATGGGAACAGCCTTTGGTGCATTGCGAGGAGGAACAGTGGAAGGAGGCGCGCACCAGTGCCGTCGAGATGCCATCGAGAACCCCGGCGCCACACCCCCTTTGGCCACCGGAAATATCGGAGGAATGCGCACAATCCTGTCGGGCATGCACGCCCTTTCCCCCGCCCCCCTCCCCTGAAGCCTCGAACCCTCGACCCACCCGCCAGGTCCTCCAGCTCCTGCAGCGCGGCCAGGTTGGCCAGGCAGGGGTAGGCGCGCGCGTACGACTCGCACGCGGCACCCAGGAACGCCGCCATGCTTTCCTCCCTGACGCGCGCCAGCTCGGTGGCGAAGGCGGCGTTGCAATGGGCTTGTGCGCTCGGTCGGCCACCTCCTCCCGCACCACCCCCACTCGCCGCGACGGTGAGGAGGCGGGCCATGCCAACCTCCCACGCACGCCCGGGGTCCTGCTGCTCCCCAGCAACGCGTGCCAGTTTGCGCGACAGCTGCCATTCGCCCAACCGCCAGGCAGCCGCCGCGCCCAGCGCCGCCAGAGCCGGCAGCGCGGGCTCGGCCGTGGCCCCCGCCAGGCCCTCCACCTGGACGAGCAGGGCGCGCGCGCGGCCGCCGCGCAGCAGCCCCTCCAGCCTGTCGGCCGTGCAGGGCGGCAGCGAGGCCGGGCGTGGGGGGGGGGGACCACCGGCATTGCGTCTGTCGGCAACCCCCTCTCCCTGACCACCATCGCCCGCGCTTTCCTCCAGCTCTTCGAGTACCGCGGCGTCGGGCCAGTTTCCCGTCTGCAGCGCGGCCGCCAGCGGCCCAGAGGAGGTCGCCGCCCCGGCCCCGCACAGCTTGAGCAGGCCCTCCATGCCGTCCGGCTCTTCCAATCGCCCATACACCTCCTTGAGGAAGGCCACCTGCGCCTCGCCGTAGGTGTGGCTGGTGCGCGCGCAGGGGTTCAGGCCGCCGCCCACCCTGGACCGAAGGTGCAGCTCCATGTACTGCAGCGCGCGAGCGTGCGCGCCCGAGCTGAACGCCGCCTGCGTGCTTGGTGGGGATGGGGTTGGGTGGGTGGAGGCGTGTGACTGGGCACACAGTTGGCATGCAACGTAACACCTTCATTTCAAACGCATGCCCCCGATCAACGCTCTCTTCCCCGCAGCCCTGGACCCCAGCCAACCCCTCGCCACCCCTCCTTCCCCCTTTTCTTTGAGAAAACCATCAAGCTCGCCTGCGCTAAAGCGTCGAGGGGCACGGCCTCCAGCACCCGCGCCAGCGCCGCCCAGCGCTCGCCGTCGGTGCCGGCCTGGCCCCCGCCGGCGGGGTCGCCACGCGCACGAGACACGCGCGCGTCCTCCACCCAGCGCTGCAGCGTGTCCAGCAGGCCAAACACGGTCTGCAGGCACATCACGCCCTCCGCCGACCCCGGCCCCCCCGCGATGACCGCCGCCAGCTCCTGCAGGTGCAGGGGTTTGGGGGTGTGTTTCAAGGGGGGGCGGCGAAGCTGCCTGCCCACCCACAAACCCACACCGAAATTCCACCTGCTGGACGGCGGCCTGGCTGGCCTCGCCGCCGTCGGTTACGGCAGAGTGCACGAGGTAGGGCAGGAGGAAGAGGGAGAGGGTGAGGTCGTGGCGCAGCGGCGGCAGCACGGCCGCGAAGAGCGGCTGCAGCGGGCCGCGCGCATGGTGCTCCGCCAGCGTCGTCATCCACAGCGCCAGCCAGCGGCGGTGCGTCAGGCGCGCGCCGCTGGCCTCCCCGCCGGCGAAGACGGGGCCGGGGGGGCGCCGGATCGCGCTGCGCACGCTGTACTTGGAGTCAAGGTACGGCAGTACGATCGTCTGGATGAGGGGGTGCATCTGGGTGTGAGAGACGTCTGGGTGGCGACTAGTTAGATACTTTGCCGGGGAGTGGGAGGACCCTGCTGCTTCAGGGCGCCTGTACATCAGATGTCTAAGCGCCGCGGGGGGTAGGTGGCTCGCGCTGATGCCCTGCACACCCCCTCTTCCCCGATTAGCCTGGGACAATGCAGTCGTGCCCCCTATTCCCCGAAACACCCCCCCCAAATGCACAAACCTGGGCGTCCTCGGGTAGGGCTGCGAGGACAGGGTTGGCAGACGGTGGCGGGGTCCTGGACCCGCCACGACGCGCCCGCTTCGCCCGCGGCGCAGCGCGCTCCTCGCCGCCGGCCTCGGCCCAGTCGCCGCCGCGCTCCTGCGAGGCGGACCCATCCGGTCCCGCCACGAGGTGCCCGCACCCACGCAGGATCTCCTGCAGGCCGAAGCTGCAGGCGTCCAGGGCCTGCAGGCTGGTGGCGCTGCGCAGCAAGCGCAGCAGGTGCGCCTGCACCACCTGCAGCACCAGCTCCCCGTCGGAGCTGAATTTTTTGGGAAGGAGGGTGGGTAAATGGAGAGGGGTTCGTTACCAATGAAGAAGTAAGGGATACAGGGCCGGAACATTGCCGTGGCGCGTCAAGCCTGGCACCAATACACAGTTTCGGTCGAGCGCCTGCAAAGAGCGCGCACATCGAGATGTGCAGCCGCCGTGCCAGGCCAGCCAGATGCTCATCTTTTCCCTGAAAGGAAACCTTGTGATGACATACTGCAACCTCCGGCTGGCCCTTCCCTCCCCCTCTCCCCTTTCCTTCCCCTCCCCCCCCCCCCCCCCCCGAAAAAAAACAATAGGACAAAAGGGACCCTACCGAGCCATGGAGGGCGGCTCCCGGCGCGGCAGGCCCAGGCGGGCGGGGTCCACGGCGCCCACCAGGCCCAGGCAGGAGGAAAGCGCGGCGCGCGCGGGCGGGTCCAGCGCGCCAAAGGCCTGCTGCTCGCAGTGCCGCAGCAGGGCCTGCATCAGCCGCGTGACGGGGGACGCCGTCGCGTGGGCGGCGCCCGGCGTGGCGCCCGGCGAGGCGCCCTGCGGGGCACCCGCCCCGTCCCCGGCCTCGGCGCCCTTCGCCGGCCGGCCGGTGCTTCGCATGCTGCTGCTGGCCAGCTCGGGGCGGCCGCCACTGCCCTGCAGCAGCCCCGCCAGCCAGGCGCGGTGGGCGGCCAGCAGCGCGGCCAGCGACACCAGCCCAACCCCCGCCACGGCGGCCGACTCGTCCTCCACGCTTTCCAGCAGCGCCGCCAGCGCGACGTCCGGACCGTCGCCGCCGCGCTCAGCCGCGGCGCGCGCGCGCAGCACCGCGCACTCTCGCACGTCCGGCAGCGGCGGCAGCACCCGCGTCGTCCCCGCCGCGTCGGCCAGCAGGGCCAGCACGCCCGCGGCGCGGCGCGCGGGCGCGCCGCCGGCGGCCAGGCAGGGCAGCACCCAGGTGCCGGCCTGGCGTGACAGCGCGCGCAGCGCGCGGGGGGTGACGCCCTCCAGCGCGCGCAGCAGGCCGGTCCAGCCGGCCAGCGCGGCGCACTGCGCGGCGCGCGGCGCGCCGGCGCCGCACCCGCGCGCCAGCAGCGCTGCCAGCTGCGGCAGCCAGCGCGTGACGTGGCGCCCCGTCAACTCCGCCAGCAGCGCCACGCAGCGCAGCGCCGTCACCGCGTCCTCGCCCCGCGACGACGCCGGGGGAGCGTCGGGCCCGGCGCGTGGCGGGCACGGTGACGTGCAAACATTGGTATCGACGGGAAAATTGGCACTACCCCCGCCACTGTTGCTGCCGCCGCCACGGCCACCGCCGCCTCTCGTCTGGCCGGCCCGGGCATGCACGCCTTCCAGGGCACTCGGTCCCGGCAGCGCCGCGTCCAGGCGGTCGCCCAGCTCCTTCAGCGTGCGTGTCACGTGGTCGCCCTCCGCCAGGAAGTCGGTGGCGCTGGCGGGGACCTCGCTGCGGCGGTGCGCCGCCAGCCGGCCCAGCTCCAGCACCACACGCGAGACGCGCTCCACGACGGCGGGCGGCGGCGCGTCGGGGTGGGAGGGGGAGGGGCAGGGGCCCGAGGTCGGCGGCGGCGCTGGTGTGCTGGCGCCGCCGCCGCCCGCCCCTGCCGCCACCCCCCTGGCCTCCCAGTCCGCCAGCCCGCCGCCGCGCCAGATCACCTCGCCCAGAGTGCGTGGCATGGCGGCGCGCAGGAACTCCAGGAAGGTCATGCCCGTCAGCTCCTCACTCAGTGCGATGAGCGGGTCAAAGGCGCCGGAGCCGCGCAGGAGCTGGGAGGCGAGCACGTGATGCCCCTGCTCCAGCATGACCTCCTTGGGGCTGGAGCCAGTCTGGCGGGGAGGGGAGTGGGATGCTGGGTGGGGTGAGTGGTAGGCTGGGTGGGGGAGGGAGGCTCTGGGTGGGGGAGGGGGAGGAGTACAAGGAATCTGGCGGGGGCCGTGCGGGGGTCCCTGCTGCGGCTGGCAGCGGGCACAGGCACGGACCCCATGGCGGACATCCTTCAGCCCAGTCCCTGGCGCAAGGAGGGACACGCGCTCCGCTACCGTCCCCAGTCGCAGCACATATGCTCATGCCAGCAAAGAGGCCGCCACAGCTTTGCAATACATATGCACTACGACTCTTGGGAAGGCCATGTGTCTGACCGACATCGTCCTGAAGAACACCCACCCTCTTCCACACCCACTCCCACCCCGTACCAGACCATGCAGCCCCCTCCACCCCCATAAATCCAATCACAAACCTCACCGCTGCGATGAGGGCGTCCAGGTCCTGGCGCTCCCCACTCTCCATCAGCGGGGGCAGGGCGTGGGGCAGGGTGGCCTGCGCCAGGGCCGCAGGGGCCAGGCCCACCGCGGCCGCCACGCCCGGCAGCAGCGCCGCCTCCCGTCCCGCCCGGCACCCCAGCAGCGCCAGCAGCGCGGGCTGGAGCAGGAGGAAAGCGCGGCCGCCGGCGCCCTGGGCCGCGGCCAGGGCCAGGAAGCCGCGCTCCGCCGCCGCGCGCGCGCCGGGGTCTTCGTCGTCCAGCCCCAGCAGCAGCAGGGCCGCCGCCAGCTGGCGCGCGGGGGCCAGGCCCGCGCGCTCGCCGGCCACGCCCACCGCGGTCAGCAGCGTGGCACGGGCCCGGGCGGGGGCGGCGCCATCCTGCAGCGACGCGCGCAGGGCCTGCGCCGGAGGGGGTGTTGGTGGAGTCGGGAGAGTGGTGGCTCGAAGGTGGGGGGTGTTGGAATCGGGGGATAGAAGTGAAGAGGGAAGAAAACATGGTTGGAAGCCCATCAGAGGCGTGGAATGGAGGGAGAGCAGGGTTACCTTGTTCAGAAGAGGTGCTCCTGCGCAGGCCATGGGGCAGCCCGCCAGCCAAGCGCCAGGCACCAAGGCCCCTTCCTTCCCGCCCCTCGTGCGCCCAACTTCCCTCCTTTCCCTCCCAACCTCCATCCTCCCGACAACCCCCTCCAACATACGCACACCTGGATGAGGTCCAGCTGGCACCGCGCGGCGCAAGCCTCCCGCTCCGGCGTCGGCACCGGGTGCGGCGCGCGCGCAGCCAGCGCCAGCGGCAGCTGCGCGGAAGCCGTGGCGAGCAGGACGCGCAGCGCCGCTGCTCTTGCGGCGGCGTCGCCCGATGCCAAGACATTCAGGGTATACTCTGCCAGAGGGCGCGCGCCCTCCAGTCGGTCCGGCGGGCAGTGGCGCAGGAACAGGCCGACGGCCAGGACCAGCGACGACGAGGAAAGCGCGGCGGAAGGCTCGGGACCTGCAACGGCTCGCTCCAGGCCGGCAGCCAGCCAGGCCCACCCGCGCCGTGCCAGGGACGGCGGCCCGGAGTCAAATGTGGAAGCGAGAGGGTCGCGTCGCCGGGGTACGCCACGCCAAGCAGGCCTGGCCACGGCGCCGAGCGCCGCCCGCGCCAGGGTCGCGCCGCCGTCGGCGCATTCAGGCGGCCGGCAGGCGGCGCTCAGGAAGCGGTGCAGGCCGGCGGCCGCCGCGCGGGGGCACTCCTCGGTCGCCGAGTGCAGGAGATTGATTGCCGCGGGGCCGTCCCCACCCGCCGCCGTCGCCAGGTGGCACGCAAAGGGCGCCAAGAAGGCAACCGCAGGCCTCGCACTTGTTAAGCCCCACGCCCGCTGCACAGCCGCCAGGGCTGCTGCACAGGCACTGTGGCTCGCAGCGGACGGGGCGCTCTGCGACGCACTTGCCGGCGAAAGTGCTACCACAACGCCAAGGGCGGCGTGAGCTGCTGCCAGACGCACGACCCTGTCCTCTGTTGCTGGGTCACCGATTGATCCAGGCGCCGCCAGCAGCCTCTGCGCCGCGGCTTGAAGCGGCGGGCTGCCGGGGTCCAGCCAGGCCAGGCCCCAGGCCGCCAGCCGCGCCATGCTCGCTGCGGAGCTAGGGTACCGTGCGTTGCCGCGGCAGACCCCTCCTTCAATGTCGGCCGCGACCGCGGCGGCCAGACGCTGCAGTGCGGTGCCATCCTCGCCATGTCCCATTGCAGCGGCGGCGGCGAGCATGGGCACCGCGCAGTCCCAGCGATTCGCGCCGCACGCACCGCGCCGCGCCTCCTCCAGCAGCTGCCGGGCTGCTTCCAGATCACATGGTGTTCGGTCTGCCGCACCAACCCAGCCGCCTTGCTCTCCCGCGGACTGCGCGACCAGCGACGCCGCGGCCGCCACCAACAGGGCGTCGCGCGCACCAAGCACGGCGAGCAACTCGGTGCGGTGCCTCATCAAACAGGGCCAGGTGGCGGCGGCGGGGCAGGCCGCGGCCAGGCGCTCCAGGCAGCGCATGGCCTCCCGCGCCGCTTTCTTAAGAGCCTCCGCGTCGCCATGATGGGATCCTATCCCCACCTCGGGGTCTCGTACGCCAGCGCCCCCAGCCTGGCCGTCCCCGCACCCGCCAGGGCCCTGAATCTCACTCATCAACCCCAGGGACGCCAGCCGAAAGCCAGCAGCTAAAAGATCAGGGACCAGGACAGCCCCGAGGCCCCCACGCGCCGCGCGCTGGGCGGCGCGGCGCAGCAGGCACAGCGCGGCCTCCGCCTCCCCCGCCCCCCAGAGCCGGCCGTGGCGGTCGAGGGCGGCGCGCAGCGAGCCCAGCGCGCGCAGCGCGTCGGCGTGCCTCCTGCTGCCGCCGGCCAGCAGACGCAGGGCCGGGGCGGCGGCGCCCCAGGCTGGCGGCAGCAGGTGCAGGCAGCGGCAGGCGCAGCGCAGCGCGGTGGGGGAAGCTTCGCAAGGCGCGGCCAGCGCGGCTGCCAGCACCCCCCCCCGCGCCTCGGCATCGGGCAGGCGCAGGGTGTGATCGGGCGCGAAGGGCAGCGGGATGACGAGCGGGGCGCCGGGCGGCGCGCTGGCCGCCAGGACGTCTGCTAGCGGTGGATGCAAAGGGCCAGGGGTAGGGCGCGGTGAGGTCTTTGCGGGGCCTGAGGACTGTTTTGCTGGGAGCGACAACCGGGAATGATGCCCAGCAGCGGCTGCCAGGCCCCGGACTCCTGCACCCTGGAACCTCCCACTCATGAAACCCCCCCATTCACTCAGACCCACCCTGCAGGAGAGTCGCCAGCCCCGCCGCCAGACGGGCATGTGTGGGCGGGGACAGCTTCCGGGCAGCCGCCAGAGCGGCGCGGACGGCGTCGCCCAGCGCCGGCCGGGCAGGGGCAAACTCGGGGCTGGCCACCAGGGCCAGCAGCCGCGCGATGATGTTTGTCAGGGCGGCATTTCCTTCGTCCCCGGGACTTATGAGCAGGGCGGGGGCCTGGGTGAGGACCAGGAGCAGGAGTTTGAGCACCGAGGACGTCTCCCGCTGCCCTGTGCGGGGAGGGGTTGAAGGGAAGAGGAGGTGGCGAGCCGGTGTCAGATTGCTGGCTCGGAATGATTGCAGATGAGCATGAAGATGTGCGCCCTCGCCCCAGTACTTTTCGTTTATGGGATGATGAAAGGATGCTTGTATGCCATAAGCGCAGGATCATAGCATGTGTACAAGGATGTTAATAGTCAGCAGCGGTGCCTCTCCTGCCTCCCTCCCCATCCAGATCACACCTGGGTGGGACTCCGCCATGGCATCCAGGAGACTGATCAGCACGGATCGCAGACGACGGGCCACAGGCCCATCCGATTCCTGACTGGAGCTGTCTCGTCCCACAATCAGGGTGTCGGCAATCTGCTGCATCAGCCGCATCAGGCTGGAACCCCCCGCCATGGCGCCCGGCCGAGTAAGTGATCAAGGGGCGTGCCCGTACAATAAGCTTGGCAACGGTCTCACGGCCCGCCTCTCAGGGAGGCAAGCATGTAATATATCACATGCATTGTAGCTTCTTCGTGTGAGCGTGCGTTGGAGCAGAGACATTTACCAAATCGAATGTGCAAGCTGCTGCCGACACATAGTGGGCAGGGCGCGCCCGATTTCGGGGGGGGAGATCAGCGATCTACGCTGTCCTTGGCGATGCACGATTCGCTGAGACATCACTGGTACTCGTGTATGCAGGCACCAGAGCATGTATTGACACCCGCCGATGCCTTGAGTCCTGTGCTGGGGTCTGGTTGCCAGTTGCCTCCAGGAGCCTGCAGACCCCGCCTCCAGCGGGGGATGCGCGGGGGAACGGGCGCCGAGTCAGAAGAGGTAGGAGTATTTTATTCTAGCTCAGCCAGTCGCGAGCGCGTTGCAACGTGTGTGCGTTGAGCATCGCTTGCACCACCTCCTCCTCGCCAGGCCACCGCTGGAGACATCGGGGAGGAAGAACTGACGCCTTCTTCAGGCGATGTAGAGATGGAGGGGGGGAGCGGCACTGAGGAAGAGGAGGCCAGGGCGTCGGGAAGTGATGAAGCATCTGATGACGATGACGAAGGGGAAGAGGAGGAGGAGGAAGAGGAGGGGCAGAGCGGGAGCGAGGCCTCCGGCTCGGACTCCCCACCCCCTCGCCGGCCAGGCCGTAAGCCGCGACTGGACATGGGCGGGCTCACCACACGAGAGATGCCAGACCGCAAGACGCGAGCCAACCGCTACGCAGCGGGGGAAGTCCTGGCGGAGGACGAGGATGGCGACCAGGACTTCTGGTGCGCAGGAGGTTTGGTGTGTTGGAGAACAGAGCGGAGCGATCTGTTGCGTCCGGAGACTGTCACCTGGCTGCAGCCCGAAGCTCACCCTCCTCCCTACCACAGGGGCCAGGAGTTCTTTGCAGAGGAGGCGGCAGATGAAGCGTATGAAACCGAGAGTGAGCCGGAGGACAGGTTGGACCAAGACTTTGACGAGCCGGTGAGCGAATGGGGGCGATGGAAGCTACATGGTCGAGGAGAATGGGTCATGAGGACCATTTATGATACGGTGCTTGAGGAGCAGGAATGGGGTGCAAGTGCACGTACAGAAGGAGGGGTTGCTGATGCATCTGCGAAAGGGTCCTCCTTGACATATGAGATGATGAAGAGCCAACGAGCGAGTTCTTATTCAGCTGCCTGCCCCTTTCCCCGTCTACTTGCCCCTCCCCGCTCTTCATCCTCTGTAACACACCCCCTCGCTCAAATCAGGAGGAGGAGCCTGGTTCCGGCGAGGACAGCGATGCAGCCGAGGCGGCGGTCCGCGAACCCAAGTGGGTGGATGCTGTTGCACCTGGCCCAGAGTAGAGCTTGTCTTGGAATGTCGGTGATGGAATGATGCCGTGTGCAGCTGCGTGGATGAATGCAGAAGGCTGGACCAGCATGCACATGCTCCCTATGCAATTCGTTACTCAGGAGGAAGGCGCTGAAGCCGCCGGGTGCGAGGTCGGGCGCCCTGGGCCCAAAGCGGCCAGCAATTGCCTCGATCCCAGGGGCCCCGCGCCGCCGATCCCTGGCTCCCTCCCCCTCCCCGTCCCTAGACCCGGGGGAGAGGCGAGGCGTGCGCGCCTCCACACGCGCGCGGGTGGAGGATGGGGAGGCGGAGCGCAGGAGGGCAAATGATCAGGTGTGAGGAAGGTTCAGGTGTGGGAGAGGAGGGGAATTCCTTGGGCAAAGTGGAGTATGAGGAGTATCAGCAGTAGTCTGAAATCTGTCCTGTAGAGTGCAGTGAAGCGACTGCGGGTGGCTTCACAGGGCTGGGGAGGTGCGAGGGGCCTGAATCAGCCATGACCCGGCGGCAGTGTTGGGTTGCAATGCTGCATCCTTCCCCAGGCTATATGGACTTGTGACAACAGAACGTCCAGCCGCACTGCTTTGACTGATGTCACGAGAAACCTCCCCTCCATGCCCATCCCTCCCACTGTCGGTGCATCCAGGCTCGGGTGCGCCGGCCGGCCCGCGCCGGCCCGGGCCCGCGCGCTTTGACGCAGGCGGAGCTGCTAGCAGAGGCGGCGCGCACCGAGATTGAAAACCTGCGCTCTCTCGCGGCGCTGGAGGCCGCCGCGGCCGAGGTCAGGGCGTCGGCCGACGTCCAGCGCACGCGATACGTGGGTCCCATGCTGCGCTGGGCCTCACGGCGTGTAGGCGACACAGAACAGGTGACTCAAAGGGGGTGCGGGGTGGGAGGGGAAGGAGGTTGGGGAGGTTCTGCAGAGCTGATTTGCAGCCAGACGACGCTGTGCACCTGAAGCGTCTCCGGAGCGGGCAGGGGAACTCCCTGTTTTATTGTGCGCCTGCCGTGCGGAACCTCCAGGAACCCTACGAAACACCACTGCTGCAAGCGCAATCCTGTTGGCGGTGCCTGTGGCCCTCTTGCTGGCTTAGCCCAGGCCAACTCACTCCACACAGACCACCCTGGAGGTGCGAAACATGGCGCTGCCGCCGGAGCTGGAGAGACAAGTGGCGCCCGAGCCTCCCCCGCCAGCTCGCTGCGCCGTCACGGGCGCCTTGGCCCGCTACCGGGATCCAGTGAGCGGGGCCCCCTATGCAGACTTGCAGGCCTTCAGGCTCCTGCGCCAGGGGAGGGCCTGATGGGAGTGGTGTGCTGGGCATGCCACCCCACTATGCATGGCTTAGCGCCGCATTCCCAGACTGACCTGTTTGTATCAAACAATACCCATGTATCTTGGACGTTGATGATAGGCTCTAGCACAGTGTTCGTGGGTGTGCGGTAGGAGGTCGATGCAATTCTAGGACAACTCACACTGCACAGATGATTTCGACCAATGCTGGTGTCTGGAGGTTAAGCACAATGCCTCCCCTACCCAGGGAAAGAAGTTGAGCTTCAGCAATCCTATCTCCTTGAATGCCCATCTGTGAAGAACCCCAGCCTGCCACATACTGCCAAGGTCGGTGCAACTCCCTTTCGGGAATTGAACAATCACACGCTGGCAGATTTGCGCATGCGCGCATTTCGACTATGACCCGTCGGAGCGTTCTTTGCACGCCCAGTCGGAAAATATCTCACATTAGATCTTCAGTCCCAGTTGGGTTCCGGTGTTCGAGTCGGGAGTGTCGACGGCCAGGGACGGCCCGGTGGGTGGGATGGGTCCGTCAGGAGTGGCAGCCGGCGCAGTCGATGCCGTTCTCTTGCCCCTGGACGGCACCCTTCCTGTTTTGAGCGACGTTCAGCTCCGCCTGGGAGCGGTCCACGAGGGAGCCCACCGGCTGGAAGTCCAGGTGGACGGTGTCACTGCGCGCACGCTGCAGGGCACGGAGGTACGCGCAGGGGAGATGTCGGGCGGAAGTACACATATTTGACCCAAAGTAGCTTCTTTGACGACTCCAGAATCAGCATGACTCGCCGCTCCTCACACCTCGGAAGGTTCGCTTTGTGGGGCCGGAGGTCCGTGTAGCCTTGGGCCCGGGCGGGCTGGAGTACTCCATCCCCGACCCCTCTCCCGAGGTGGTCGCCCTGGTGCGCGCCCTCGGGGCGCCAGCACCCGGTCAGGATGCTCCCCTCCCAAGGGCGAGCCGGGCGGGCTCCCCCAAAACCGGCTCCCCTGGCACCCCCACCCCCTGCCCCACCCCCCCCAGCACCTTTGACGCCCGCACCGACGCCGGGTCCGCAGAGCTCTACTTCCACTACTACGGCCAGCTGCAGCACCAGCAGAACATGCTGGCGGACGCGCTGCGCACCGGCACCTACCACGCGGCCATCTCCGAGAACGGCGCCGACTTTGCGGGCAAGGCCGTGCTGGACGTCGGCGCCGGATCGGGCGTGCTCTCGCTCTTCGCCGCGCGGGCCGGCGCGCGCGTCGTGTACGCGGTGGAGGCCTCCCCCGCCGCGCAGTATGCACGGCGCCTAGTCCAGGCGCAACCGGGCCTGGCGGGCATAGTCCACGTCATCCAGGGCCGGGTGGAGGATGTGGAGCTGCCGGAAAAGGTGTGCAAGGGCGAACTGCTTTGGGTGGTTTTTTGGGTGTGGGATGTGGAAGAGGCGGGGCAAGGGGTTGAGCCCAGCAACAGCAGCGGGGCCCGCTCTGGCGGGGGCACCTGCGCTGCACGGCAGGGCTGCAGAGCCTGCCTGCGGCCTGCACACTCCGAGGAGAGGCTGAGGCACCCTAGGCCAAGCACGCACAAGCCCCTTCCAACCCTTCCCTCTTCCTTGGGCCGCCAGGTTGACGTGCTCATCTCGGAGCCAATGGGCACGCTGCTCGTGAATGAGCGCATGATAGAGTCGTACCTGGCCGCCCGGGACAAGCACATGAAGCCCGGCGGCAAGATGTTCCCCGTGAGTCGGTGGCAGTTGCTCGCAGTCCGGGAGGAGGGACTGATGGGGCGCTGGGGTGTTGACCAGGGTTGTTGATGTGCCGGAACGGCTGTGACAGTCCAAACCCCCCGCTGCGATGCCACACGCTCCCCGCCCATTCCCAGTCCCCAGCACCCACAACCTCCCTTCCCCCTTCCTCTTACATAAAAAAAGAGCCTGGGCCGGATCCACGTGGCCGGCTTCTCGGACCCATACCTGCACGCCGAGGTGATGGCGCGGTCGGCCTTCTGGAAGGCCACCGACTTCTTCGGCCTGGACCTCAGCTGCCTGGAGGCCGAGGCGACGGCCGGCTACTTTGGCCAGGTGGTGGTGGACGCCATCCCCTCCGGCGCCCTGGTCTCCAACACCGCGCAGCGCACCATCGACTTTGCCACCGCGGCGCCCGAGGACCTGCGCGAGCTGGCCATCCCTCTGAGTCTGCAGGTGGCAGCGCCGGGGCCGGTGCATGGCCTCGCCTGTTGGTTTGACGTGCTGTTCGAGGGGTCGCAGGCGCCACGCTGGCTCTCCACCGCGCCCGGCCTGCCCACGACGCACTGGTGCGCGCTGGGCTTCTTGTTGAGGGAAGTGCATGCCCTGGCCCGAGGCACCTGGAGGCGTGTGGTATGAGTATGGCAAGGTCTAGGCCCGTGACGATGCACTCAGCCAGGGTCGGAGCCGGGTCTGCATGCCCCCTTCTTCACCCGCTCCTGCCCTGTTGACATGCCGCATCACCCCCGTGCAATAAGGTCCCCCACCCCCTCGGCGCCCACAGGTTCCAGCTGAGATGCCTGCTGCAGGAGCCCGTGCAGGTGGCCAAGGCTGGTGACACCCTGACCGGCCGCCTGCACCTGCTGGCACACTCCCGGCAGTCGTACGATGTGACGCTGGAGCTGTCCAGCGGCGCCTCCCCCGTTTCTGTCGGCAGGTACGACCTCAAGGAACCCTACTACCGCCAGCTCAACCAGTGGATCCCGGTGGCCAACGGTGCAGAGGCCACCTACGAGCAAATGGCGGCCGAGGCGGGGCAGGGGCCATCCACCTGACCAGGCGCAGCCTGATCTCCACCCAATAAAGCCTCGATAGTGAGGCGCCTGACTATGGTACTCTTCGGCGCGGCATCCGGGAGCTGAGCAGAGCGCGAGCCCTGCCGGAACCTGCTCCTGGCGCTGTCTCGGCCAGATCGCCCGACACCCCGGTCGCGCGACCACACATGATACCGTACATGCTCTTCTACCACTCTCTCCCCTACAATGAAATGCATCCTGCTGTTCGCAACTCTACTGTTGTGACAGCATTCGAGACTCGTGGGGCTGTGAGGCAGTGTGCGTTGAACTCCTCCGCGTTAGGGTTCGGAGGCGTCTGACCACGCTCGGGCCCTCCCCCGCATGGTCACAACTCCCCCTGGGTGCCGTTTTAGACGCTCGGGTTTCGCCACAATGGGTCACGGGTGCCTGATCCTGGCGGTGCTCCTGCTGTCCTCTGCCTCGCTCGGTGCAGCTATCCGAGACACCCCAGCAAGTCGCCTCGCCCTGCCCTCCGGCCCATACCTCCCCATCGTTCTATGGCATGGTACGGCACATAGACTTGAGCTTCATGATGCGGGAGTTGCTTAACCCCTGTGCATCTTGCCAGGAGCTCCCTGCAGCAGCCCTTCGCCCAGGGCCTGCCGGCGTCACTCACATACCCACATCGTTGAGACCTCCCTTCTCTCTCCCCACATTAGGCATGGGCGACTCCTGCTGCAACCCCCAGGGCATCGGCGCGGTGCAGGACCGCATCCAGCGTGCCCTGCCCGGCGTGTTCGTGCACAGCGTGGCCACCGGCGCCACTGAGTCGGCCGACGTGCTTTCCACCTACTTCGGCGACGCAAACGCGCAGGTGCGGGCCGCCTGCGAAGCGCTACGCGCGCTGCCCCAGCTGGCGGGCGGCTACGTGGCTGTGGGCTTCAGCCAGGGCGGCCTGCTCCTGCGCGGCCTGCTGGAGCGCTGCACGGGGGAAGGCGCGCCGGCCATGCACACCCTGATCACGATGGGCTCGCCCCACCAGGGTGTCATGGACGTCCCTGGCTGCTGGGACGTGGGCGGCGGGGCGGGGGCCGCCTGGAGCTGGTGCAAGGTGCGCTCACAGAGGGGTGAACTCTGGTGGTGGGGTTGTGGTGGGGGGTGGGGGGGTGGTGGACAGGAGGGGAAGGGATGCATTGGGGGCAGGGACGAGGGTCTCGGGCAGAGCAATAATGCCAGCGGATCATCTGTGTGTGCATAGGTCCTTGGTTGAGATGTCTTGCACGCCAGAATTGAGGGCAACGCATCTGGTGGGTGTCTGGTAGCATTGCTGCTGTGGTTCTATAAGACGCCTGCTTTGCCCCTCGCCGCAGTACACCCCCATCCCCTCCTTCCCTGCCCCCGCACAGGCCATGCAAGCGCTGCTGGGGCATGGGGTGTACTACTCCTGGCTGCAGCACAACCTCCTCCAGGCCCAGTACTTCAAGGTGAGGGTGATCAGAGGGGGTGGGTTCAAAATTGTGAGCAGACATGATCCCCAGGGGCCCTCAATTGTTCACTACAGAGTGTGATTGCTGGATATTCACTGTTCGCATGGTCCAGAACGGCCCGACATGCACGCTCGCCGTCCTCCCCCTGCCTCGCAACCCCTTGTCTCCGAGGTTTCCCTTCCATGGAACTCGTACAGCGCAGGCCGCGCCTCCAATGAGGAGACCCCTCCCCTCTCCCGCGCCCCCAGGACCCATACCACCTGGACTGGTACAGGGAGACCTCCGGCTTTCTGGCTGACATCAACAACGATCGGGATGCGAGGAACAGCAGCTACGTGGCCGCCCTCACATCGCTCCGCAGCCTGGTCCTGTACCAGTTTGACAACGACCTCACCGTGGTCCCGCGCGAGAGCTCCCAGTTTGGGTTTTACAACGGAACGCACACGGTGAGCTGGCCTTGGTGCTGGGAAGAGGGCGGTGGAATGGCGTGGATGGGGCGGCAGCATCGCAGTGGTAGTGACTGTTCACCTGCGGCGCCCCTTTGCAGTCAGGGCATTCTCTTGTGGCTGGACCAGCATCTCGGGTGCCGTGCCCCTCCCAACAGCCTTGCACAGCCGGGGGCCCCATGCCTTCCCACCGCCTGCCGCCCACAGGAATCGATGGAGGAAAGCGCAGCGTATCGCGACGACCGCCTGGGGCTGCGGACCCTGAACGAGTCTGGGCGCCTGACGCTCGCCAACTGCCCCGGTTTCCACATGCAGTTCACTCTGGACTGGTTTGAGCAGCACGTCCTGCCACACGTGGCGGTGCCCGTGGCCGACGCCCGGGTTGCCGCCACGCATCCCAGCCGCACTGCGTGATGCAGATGGCAATGCGGGCACCCCGCGTCTACACCCCCTCTTGACGGGTGCCACGCTCTCACCTAGCCATATGCGCCTTCCCTCACTGCCCCTCCCTGCTCCCTGACACCCTTGCGACCCTGCTGCACGCCCCTGCTCCCTGCACGACAATGTGCATAGACTGCTCCTTGCGCCGTGCGACTCTCCCCTGCCTGAGTCATGGCATGCCACCTTGGCCCTCCTCCTCTCCTAACTTGAAATATTTACAATGCAAGAGATTCTTAAGAGGGGATTTCCAGCGCAATCAGGGCATTGCACCTCACGCTGTCACCGCTCACTCCTCACGCTCACTCCTCGGCCGCCCGGCGGTGCGGCGTATACAGGGGCAGGCGGTCGGCGGCCTCGGCGCGAGCCTGGCGCACCGCCGTCCAGTAGAGCGCGATGGAGGCCAGCGCCGCGCCCAGGAACAGACGGTTGAACCAGGCGTTGAAGGCGTCCAGGGGCAGGTCGGCGGTGCCCTCGCTGCCGCTGCCGCCGAGCGCGGCGGTCACCGCCGCGCGGTGGGCCGGCGCCAGCTGGCGACGCAGGAGCAGGAGGGTGGACACCGCGTGGAAGCCCAACAGCTCGGTGAGGAGGAAGACGGGGGGCGCGGCGCGGCGCGCGCCGGTCAGCCAGCTCAGCGCGCGCTGCGCGTTGAGCAGGAAGCCGCGGAGGGAGGTGACGGAGATGGCCGCCACGAAGGCCAGCGTCATGTACTGTTTTTGCACGAGGGAGGGGTGAAGAAAGGGGAATGGGGGGGGTGAGGGGATGGGCAGGCGGGCATGCGCCCTGGCGGCTGCTCAGATGAGCGATGGGGGGGAGGCTCATGGCGTAGGATTGGCAGCATGGCGGCAGCATTGGGGGGCCATCCTGCCCAGAATCCGCATGCAAATGTTGGAGTAGCGGAGCACAGGCAAGTGGCAAGAAAAAGTCAGACATTCCGCGGGGAAACTCTCCATATGATACCCCGTCGACCATCGCCTGCCCCCCTCTTAACACACACACACACAATCCTACCTGGGAGAGGATGTGGGTGTCCACCTGCACCGCCCCGCGCGTGAGCACCCCGACCGCGACCCTGACCAGGGTGCCCACCGGGTCGGCCCCACGCCCCGGCTCGCCCCACAGCAGGCTCCTGGCCGCCGCCAGCATGCGGTACACGCAGTACAGCGACAGCAGGTAGCCCAGCGCATTGCGGGCGTGGCCGGAGGCCGTGCGCGCGCGTGCCGCACGGCGGCGCTCGCGCCGCAGCTCGGCCGCCTCGGCGCGCAGCGCCGACACCAGCGACTCCAGCGCGCCCGCCTCGGCGCGCAGCGTGCCCAGCGCGCGCTTCCCCGGTCCCGGGCGCAACGCGCCCGACACCCAGCGCACGAGCGAGTGCCCCGACGCGGGGCTGGACGCCGTGCCCGCCGCACCGCCGGCCAGGACGTCGCCCGCCTCTGCCGCGCAGCCGCACTCCAGGACCTCGATGCGGCGCCGCTTGTCGGCCAGCGCGGCGCGCGCGGCGGCAAGTCGCTCCTCCCCCACCGCCACCTCCCCGCTCTCCACGGGGCGGATGAACAGGGAGATGTAGGTGTAGGGCAGGGTGACGGAGCCGTAGCCGGAGAGCACGGCCACGAGGACCACGCCCAGCGCACCGACGCGCGCGACGATGGGGAGGAGGAGGCCGGCACGCTGGGCGCGCTGGGCCTCGGACCCGCCGGGCACCAGCCGGCCCAGCCGCCAGAAGGCCAGGAGGAAGAGGAGGGTGAGCAGGAGGGCGAGGGCGAGGGCTGGCGGGCCGGGGAGGCGGCGCCGGGCCAGGCGCAGCGTGTGATACAAGGGCAGGACCAGGAGGAGGAGGAGGAGGAGCAGGGCCAGGTCCGCGCGCCACACCAGGATCCTAAGCCTGCGTTGGGTTGTTGCACGCAGGAGGATGAGGGGGTTCGTTGGAGGTGTGAGCGGCCATGGAAGAGGCGGTGTACTGTTGCCCGGGGAAACAGATGGCAGCAAGAGGGTGGTGCGCTGCCGACGAGTTGCACAGAGAGGTCAACAACAACTCAACAGTCTCAGCGATCCAGGTCGGCGGCCACAGTGGGACAGCCAGAGCACGACGCTCACCCTGGGTTCAGCACGTCCAGGACCTCGCAGAGCAGGAGGAAGAGCTGGTGGGAGGACAGGGCAAACACGCCCGCGAACAGGGCGTGCTGGGCCCTGTCCAGGCCCCCACCCACGCCGTCGCCGCTGCGCTCGAGGTAGGTCCATCCCCCCCAGAAGAGCAGTGCCCCGGCGCTGAAGGCCAAGACCAGGTCAAGCAGCATGCCAGGTGGGGGAGGGACCCCCACGGGGGTACCAGCGCTGGGGCCCGACACCGGGTAGGGGCAGGCTGGAGGTCATCAAAGGAGGGCTGGAGGTGCGGGCATGGCCGCGATGCGATGAATTTCCGGGACACGAATTGGTAACATGGGGATTGGCGCATTTCCTGGGACGCATGGATCGGGCAGGCAGGTAACCACGCACAGACGTGTCGCGATTCCGGAAGGTTCAAACTTGTCGCTGCCGGTCTGGATGATGCCTCCGCTGGAGGGTCCTGTGCCCCCGGGCGCCTGATCCATGCACAGCAAGTTTGCAGACGAACACCCGCACCTCCGCCCCCCCCCTCCTACATCCAAGTCCATGTTGCGGGTGTGTGCAGACTCTTCAAGGTGGCAGGAGAGCAGTGCAGGCAGTATTCCTATGCTTGAGTTCCAGGTGTGGCAGGGGATGGGCCTCAGCACCTTGGACTATGATCTACCCGGCGGGCTCACACCATCATGCCCTTGTGGTACAGGTCCAGCAGCGACAGGCAGATCTCCACCCCGATGAGGATGATGATGATCCACTCCAGCGATGTGGACTGCAGTACGGGTGCGGCAGGCGGGCGGTCGGGGGGCTGGGGACGGGGCATGCAGCCGTGGTGTCTGGCTCGGATGCAGGTCTCGACGGGGCAGCCTGTGTGCTGGCATGCGCCGCTCCAGCTGCACAGCAGTATCTGCGGCGTGTCCTGGCCCTGGTGAAACCGCACTCCTGCAGGGTAGCTGCGACCCTGCTCAAGCAACAACCGCCGCTGCAACCCAGACCTTGCCTTGCGGTCCTGGAAGATCTCTAGGAAGTACTTCAGGTTGTCCTGCACCAGGTTGAGCTTCATGTCCAGGGTCTTGAATCGCGCATCCATCTCCAGCTCGGAGCGCAGGTAGTCCCAGATGCGGCCATACTGCACATACTTCCAGGCGATGTCATACCTTGGCATGGGCAGGTGGGGAGGGGGAGGCGTGCGTCTTGCGGAGGGCAGAGTGTGTGGGTGCAAGGGTGTGAGGGGTGGGGTGCTCCGGAGGTATGCAGTCCGACGGGGCGTGGGCATGTTGCTGGGATCCCTGAGGCCCAGGGATCCCCGACAGCATAGATGCCGCTTGGGTCTCCGGGTGGCCAGGGCCGGTTCCATGCCAGATTGCACCGATGCCTCAGCTCGCCGCCCGTCCTACCCCTTCCTCACTCCACAAACAACACCCCCGCCCACCTCTCGTTCACCCCCAGCTTGGTGATGATGTCGGTCATGATGACGTTGTTCTCGGCCACCAGGCGCAACAGCTCCTGCGCGTTGATCTTCTTCAGATTCAGCGTCTCCTTCATCTCCTTGTTGATCTGGGTGAATTGCCCCAGCATGCGCTCCACGTGGGAGCTGTAGTAATCCAGGGCCACAGACTGGGCCAGCACCTGGGAGATGACCTGTGGCACAGTGGGTGGGTAGCCGTGCTGGGCATTGTGTGGATGCACGCCGGGTGAGATCGGGACAGGAGGACTCCCCAGCAGCGTGGAAACTTCCATCTGGGAGTCGAGGGCGCTGGGTGCGCAGAATGTGACCAGCGGCGGGCTTGAAGCGATTTTCATCTGTATGCAAACCCGCTGTTCGTGCCTGGATGTTCTTCAGGTCGAGCTGCTGCAACCTGATGCGCTCCGGGGTGAGCTGGCTCCAGGTGGGGAGCTGGGAGGCGACGGACAGTGTGTACTCTGCAGTGCAATGTGCTTGGAAAGGCTGAGCCATGAGGTGATCAGGCACTATCAGGTGTGGCCCCATGCCGGCATCCACCCCCCCCCCCCCCCCGATTGGGGGATCACTGCCCGGAAGGGCGCAGGGGGGTTTGCTCCCTCCAAGTGAACACACCACTGCGCCCCCGGTGCAGCCCGCCTCCCATTCCCACCAAGCAAGCCCTGCACCTTCATTGTACGGGCGCTCGGCTGCGGGGGTCGGGTCGCCCGCCACGGACCGGCAGGCGGAGAGCCAGCGATCTCGCTCGGGGAGCTGCGAGTTGCCGATGAGGACCACGGAGCCGTAGGGGAAGGCCACGATGTAGGGTCCATGCTGGATCCCCTGTACGGGCAGGGCGTAAAGCAGGAGTGGGGTGAGTGGTGACTGCACGCCTGAATACTCCGACGACTTCTGCACTCATGAAGTCACAGCCAGCCATTGTACAACCTGTTGGGCAGGGTCTTGCTCGTCCCACCTGCTCCTCGGCCGTGTCGGGGTCTAGACTCTGGTGTGGTCCCAGCAGGAGGGCGCCACGGTGCATGGCACTGAAGCACCCCTGAAACTCAGGCTTGGAGTGCAGGGCGGAGACGTCGATGGTCGCTCCAATGTACGTAGCTTCAACCCGGTAATTCTGCCGAGTGACCAGGCGGTTCACATCCCGGCTCGCTGGGTGAGCGTTCTGGGCCAGGCTCTCAGGACCGGAGGTGGAGGCGTCAGGGGCCGGAGGGCTGGGGGAGGCGCTGCCGGGGCTGGCCGATGCCGTCACATCCCGCGCCGAGGTCCATGCTGCCGGCAATGGCCTGGCATGCAGACTGTGGCTGCTGGATTGCTGGCGGGCGATCGAGCTCAGGGAGCCCAGTAACCGCGCAGTGCGAAGCATGGAGAGTGGCACCTCAAGCACAGGTCAGCACATGAAGGGGTCGGCGGACGCACCGGCTGTGCGCCTCGATGAAGGATGTCGTATCTTGTCAGTGGTGATACCAGAGAACAAAAGTGGATGCTCCTCCGCTTGGATCGCACTTCTTAAATGGGGACTCCCTGCGATCGCTATTCTGTGGCGCCCTGAGAGATGTCCCCCGGTGACAGTTCGGCACCCCAGTCGATAACCTGCGCCGAATACCAGGCGGCACCCACAGCCCCACCACTCCCTTACGATGAGGACATGATTATGCATCGATTCTCCACCTGACCAGGAGGTCCTCCGCGATGGATGATGAACTCGAGCTGGAGCTGGAGCTGGCCGAGGCATATGACGGAGGTGGGTGTGGGTGCACATCTGTTCAGAAGTAGTGTGAAACAAATTACTGGAACATAATTCCATCCACAATATTCTTTGTCGTTTCCGACTCTCAGAGGAGCTAGACTACGGCGAGGATGATGAGGCTGAGCCTGCAATCCCCTCCCACCCCTCGACAAAAGCATCAAAGTCCTCGAAGGAGCCCCAGGTGCGCATAGAGTCTGACATCAAGACATTCATCCTGCCCAAGCGCATGTACCGGGGTACCCAAGACACGCACCAGCTCCCCCACCTTGTCCTCCAGGTTAAAGATGTGGCACACGCCTACCAAGACGACCCAAGGGCTGGAAACCGGGGAAGGTCGCACACCTCCACATCCAGGACTACCGATGCAAGAGATCCCGACTCCAGGTCCCGCCGGCGCAGTCGAGACGACAGAGGGACGCGAACTGGATGCCAGCCGCGGGGGCAGCGCTCGCCATCCAAGGCGCAAGGTGCGCTGGGCACGTGGCGGCTGCCTCCACCGTAGGACACTTGACTGACAACGGGAGCCTCAGCGGCTTTGCTCCTTTTCATGGGGAGTTTCTGCTGGCGATGCGTGCATTCTGGCAAGTCTGGCTCGTTCTTGACACGGCCTCGCACCCTGCTGGCCGGCCTCGCAGATCTGGAAAAATATGAGGGGGCGCTGCCATCTCCCTTCCTCCCACCTGGAATTCTGGCGGGGCCAGGCCACCCTCCGCCCCCCTCAGGCATGACCTCCTCTCGCCCTGGAGGGAATGCTCCAGTGGCGCCCAGCCATCCACCGCCGCAGCCCATGGTAGAGTACCAGGGACTTGATGGGAGTATAGTTGGCAGACCGGCGAGGCTGGTGTGCCGATCCCGAGGGAGCCCTTGTCCCCATCCACAGTTGCTACCGGCATGCCCTGTTCTGCCCTGCATCAACTGGCAGCCTCTCCTGCCCTCCGCAGGGTTCCACATACCCGATGGGCATGATGGGCGCCATGCCCTCCCCACACCCCATGGCGCTGATGCACCAGGCGCTGCTGCTGCAGCAGCAGCAGCGCCAGCAGCACATGCTGGCTTCAGGCTTCAGGGGTGGCGATGGTGCTCCCGGCTTCCGACAGGGGCAGCCGCCGCCACCCCCCCTCCCCCCTGGCTTCAGCGTGCCGCCTTCAAACCCTTGCCAGCACATGGCGGGCCCCAAGCCGCCTCCTCCCCCGGCGGGACCTGCACACCCCCCAGGCCCCAGGGAGGAAGCGGCGCAGAGACCGCCCAGGCCCCTGGATCGAGTGCAGGGGCCCCCCTTCCAGCCCCAGCAGCAGTGGCAGGCGCGGCCACATTCCGGCAGCGGACCCAGGCCGCCCCCCCCCGGCGTGCCAGGGGTGAGCCACCGGCTGGGCTCGGCGCAGGGGGCCTCTGTGCGAGGAGCCATCAGGCGGGAGGGCGCGGCATCCGCAGTGCCGCCGCCGTCGGGGCCGCCGCCCGAGGAGGAAGCAGGAGAGGGCGAGCAGGAGAGGAAACGGCGGCGACTGGAGGAGATTGCGAAGGCCCGGGCAGCTCAGGAGGCGGAGAACAAGAGGTTGGCCGAGGAGAGACGGAAGCGTCTGGAGGCGCGCCAGGCTAGCCAGCCCAGTCACGCTGAGGTGTGTGTGCGCTGAGGGATCGGGGAGGGAGGCAAGGGGAGGAAGGACAGGGGGGTTGAATACACAGTCTGAACGCTGAGCCATGATGCCTTTGGCTGGAGGCTCCCTTACATGTGCGAAGAGTGACACCTCTGACCTCATCCTCCCCCTCTGTGCGCAGCCTGCCGCGCAGTCGAGCATGGCCCGGCAGATGGAGGCTCTCAGGAGGAAGATCCAGGCCGAGGAGGCGCGCCTGGCAGCGGCGAAGGCGGCAGCAGCCAGCGCGCAGGGCGGGGCAGGGCGGCCTGGCGTTGATGAGCGCGGGGTCGGTGCCCCAGACAGGCCAGTGGCTTCCAGCAAGGATGCTCCAGACGGGACCCCAGGCGCCCAGCCAGGAGCAGGCATGCTGGAAGCCAGCTCGGAGAAGGGCAGGGAACTGGGCGGCAATGGCGAGAGTAAGGGTCTTCGAGGAGGGGTCGTCAGCGGCGGTGGCAGCCCCGGTGCCCCCACAAGTCAGGAGGACGACCTGCAGATCACGTTGACGCAGTGATCACAGCTAGCCTGCATGCAGCTCCAGGTATTGCGGCCGGGCATGGAAGGGAGTGGGGTGGGGGGGGGGGGGACTGATCATGCTCGTGGGCTTCAGCCAGAGCCCTTCCCAGGTCCCAGGTATTCGCTCAGTGGGCCAGTGCTGCGCCCCCTCTCCTGCTTTAAACCGGCTCAGGTTTTCATGCACTGTCCTGGGCTGAGTTCACGCCCTGAACAGCTAATGATACATGTGCGATGTTGCAAACGTGACCCCAGAAACTCATGTCATTCCTTTATCTGTGACCCTACGCCCCCGTATTCATTTGACAACCTGTGCAGCGCCTTCAAGAACAGGACATGACCTGCTGTCAAGCTTTGGCAGCTTTGTAAGATCTCAGTACACCGTCCAGCGGGCACAATCTCCTGCAGGGGATGGGGGGACCCGAACACCTCGCTTCCCCAAGAGGATAATATTGCGATATGCACACCGCGATGGATGGCACGGGATGATGGTGCGGCAACCCTCGACCATCAACGTATACAGCTCGTTTTATCAACATTTTTAAGCTTACTCAACCGATAGAAGCATCGACATGCAGGCGGTCACGTCCACTCGCGCTTTCACCCCGGCTGTCGCGACACAGCGTCATGCCCGGCGACAGGTGACCGTCCAGGCGCTGTCGAGGCCTCAGGTGGGCGATAATATGGGGTGGTGGTGCATCGGGGCCTTGTTGAGCCGAGGTGGGCGGTGAAAAGGGGGACGGATCCGGCCAGCATGAGTGCAGGCGGGCCCGATCGCGACATGGAGTTCCCCTCGTTCCACGGTCACCTACCACCCCGCATCGCAGACCGCTGCGGCCTCGGTGCCCATGATCGCCGTGATTCTGGCCGGAACCGCTGCCATGACCCTGGCCCCCGCCGCGCTGGCCGAGGACGTGCGGACCACCAGCGCCCCGGAGGGCGTGCGCAAGGTGGTCTGCGCCTCCAACCCCACCTCCAAGCTCTGCCTGGAGGGGTCGTACAAGAGGGGCCAGGCCCCTTCCCTGAAGAACTAAAGCTGAAGATCGCGCCAGCCTCCTCATCTGCCCTCGCTGTACAGGGGAGGGGAGGGTGCACTGGGCCTCCTGATTTTGTGCAGCTCTCGATTGTAACAGAGGGAGAAGCATGGAGGCGGGCGTTTGCAGAGTGCAGAGCCATTGTCGGGCATGCAGACCCACAAGCGCTGCAAGGAGGGGTGGTAAAAGGCTGGACCAGGGAACAATCTGGCAGGGGCATCGTGCCGCACTTTGGCACACCACCCGCAGATGCCATTAGCGCTCGCACCGGCACGCGTCAGCCCAGCACACGCAGCGCCGCCGCCACCTCGTCCCTGGTCAGCACGCTGGCCGGGTCCAGGGTGCCCTCCGGGAACTCCCTGGCCAGCAGGTCCTCCAGCTGCCCAAGGGCCTCCGCGACGTTCCCCGCGATGGGGCCGGCGAGCGCCGACCGGCTGCCTCCATCCGGCAGCGAAGCCCTCAGCGCGGTCGCAGCCTCCGGCAGCACGCCCGCCAGCGCGCCTCGCAGGCGCTGACTCAGCTCCGCCACCCGCTCCGGGGACGCAAAGGCCTGTAGAGTGTGGTGTGATGCGATGGGGTGGGGGGGTGCTGTTCGGGAGAGCAGGCGGGGCACCAGGCAGGCATGGTGCCGAGACAGCCTGGGTAATGATTCCATCCAGCTCGCTGCCGGCTTGTTTGCTCTGGACCCAGGCGCCGGCGACGCAGAGCAGGGACCTTTCTGTAACTTGAACAGCAGGCAGGCCAGGCATCTCTCTGACCCCCGAGTTATTCTCCATTCTCCAACTTCCTGCTCACCAGTTGGTGCAAGGGCTTGGTGCCCACGGCCGCCTCCTTGTCCGCCCCCGCACCGCCCGCAGGCGCGGCCGGCACCTTGCCCGCGGCCGCCGCCTTGCTCATGAAGGACAGCGCCGGCTCCACCGCCAGCTTGGTCACGGACATGATGAAGGACTCGCAGCTGAACTTGAGTTCTCGCTCCAGCTCCTGGGTGGAAGGGGTGCGTTGATGGGTACTGGACATGCATCACGGGTAGCTGCGGCCGGTGACGCAGGGTCCAGAGGTGGGCCCCCTCACCCTCAACCCCATGCCCCAGTCCCAAACCCCTTGTAAACACGCCAACACCATAGCCTGCCCACCTTCTTGGCGTCGAACCGGCTCTCCAGCAGGCGCGGCGCGCCGCGGCTCATCAGCTGGAGCACCGCGTTGCTGGAGGAAAGCGTGAAGAGTGGGAGCTGCCCCGAGGCCGCGCGGCGCAGCGTCTCCCGCGTGTGGCTAAAGTCCAGGTCGCGCTGCACCACGGCGAAGGTGGTGGGGTGGCGCACGGCGCCCTCGCGCAGGGCCAGCAGCTGGGACACACCGAAGAGCTGGGCCTGGAGGGGGGTGCACCCGGGGAGCTGCAAGAGTGGGATGGGGGGGGGGGGGGGAGTTTATCGTGGGTGGGTAGGAAAGGGGGGAATGGTGCACGCGGGGTTGGTGAGGACCCCCCCAGTCAGCGCTTGCGCATGGTCGCTCTCCCATGCCTCCAGCCCCTCCTGGGACCACCACCTCAGGATTCCATTCACGCTGTCCTCAATTTCCATCGCTCCTCACAACTCCTGCCTTGACTTCCACCACATCTCCAGAGCAACCCCACTCCCCATCTCTACCTTGGCCACAGCGCGGCTGCCGGCAAGGACGGCGAGCGTGGCGGCGGCCAGCGCCTCGTGCGCCAGCCCCGCGAAGATGCGCGCGTCCAGGCGCGGCGCCAGCTGGCCCAGCAGCGCCAGCGTGGCGGAGCCGGGGGGATACTGGCGCGCAGCCGGCGGGCCCGCTGGTGGTGTGCTTGAGTCTGTTGGCGGGTCCCCATTGCCTTTGGCGACTCCTTCTGGGCTGACAGACTCTGACGCTCCGTCCGCCTGCATCGCTCTGCCGGCCGCTGCGTCACCCCCCTGCACCGCCCTGGCCACCCCTCCCTGCCCCCTTCCATCCAGCGAATAGTAGCCGTCAAAGTCGGTGGGCACCGCGGCGTGCCCCGCCACACGCTCGCGGATGAAGGCCTGCGCGCGGAAGGTCAGGCGCTCGCGCACGTCGGCGAGCACGCGGCGGAAGGTGGGCGCCACCAGTTCGTCGGCCGGCGCGGCGCCGCCGCCGCGCGTCTCCGCCGCCGCGGCCGCCGCCGCGTCGGCCGCCGTGCAGAGCGCGTCCAGCGCTTGCTCGGCCACGACGCGCGGCCTCAGCGCGTCGTAGGCGCGCTGCGCCAGCGGCTCGACCAGCCTCCCCAGCGCGTCGCGCTGCGCGCTGGCGGGGAAGAAACGGCGGAACAGCGCGGCCTCCTCGCGGCACAGCCGGCGCAGCAGCACGTCGGCGGCTGCAATTTGCTCGCCCGGTGGCAGGCCCGCCCCCCGGGCCAGCGCAGCGTACACCACTGGCGCCAGCACCACCAGGCGCGCGCCGCAGTAGGAGCCCTGGCAATCGGAGAGGAGGCGCGCGTACTCGGGCCGGGAGCCCGCGCGCGCCTCCACGCCCGCCAGCAGCGGGCCCAGCGCCGGCTCGGCCACCGCGCGGAAGCGCACTGCCGCCAGCGCCTCCACGCCCTCGTCGGTGGAGGGGCACGGGCTGGCGGCGGAGGCCGGGACGGATTTTGCAGGGGCGTCGTCGGGCGCGTCTGGTGGGGAGGCACCAGCGATCGACGTGCCGCCGGGGGCGTCCGAAGCCACCGCGCCTTCCGCGGCGCCCGCCCCCGCCGCCGCCTCTTCGGATGCGCTGGCCCGCCTCGACGCCGCCGCTCTGCCCTCGCCGGCCCCCTCCACGCCGCCGCTCCTCGCCGCGCGCTCCGCGACGGCGGCCGCGGAGGCGGCGCGCAGCGCGCCCGCGACGCGCGCCCTCAGCGCACTCAGCGTGCGCGCCTGGAGCTGGCGCAGGCGCGCCGCCGCGGCCGCGGCGCCGGCCCAGTGTGGGCGTGCGGCCAGGAAGGCCAGAGCGTCGTCCAGGCGGGCCAGCAGGCCGGCGGGGTCGGGGGAGGCGGCGGCCGAGGCGGCCTCCAGGCCCAGCCGCTCCAGGTCGTCGAAGCGGGCGAGGCGGGCGCGGAGGGCGGAGGCCAGGGCCTCGCGCTCGGAGCGCTGCGCCTCCAGCTCCTCGCACCGCGCCGCCAGCGGCGCGCCCGCGGCCGACACGCCGGCGTGGCCCGCGCCCAGCGCGGCGCAGGCCGCCGCCAGCGCCTCGCACGACTCCAGCACGCCGGCGCAGGCCGCCAGGTGCCCCGCCAGCTCGGCCTGGTAGGTGCCGAAGCGGGCGGCGGTCTCGCGCCCGCGCGCCGCCTCCAGCTCTGACAGCCAGGCGTAGAAGTCGGAGGAGTGCTGCAGCACGACGTCGCGGGCGGGGGCGGGCGCCGCGGCGTCGACCCCGGCGCGCGGCGAGGCGGGCCAGGAGGGCGAGGAGGGGGTCGGCGGGGCCGCGGGCTCACGCCCCTCCGCCTCTCTGGCGAGCACCTGCAGAGGCCGGCGGATGGGGAAGGGATCCAGAGGCAGGGGCCTGGACCGGCGCAGGACACCCCGGGGAGGGAAGGGGGGATTGCTATTGGGCTGGCCTGAGTCGTGCAGTTGCCCCTCACCCCATGGAGCATGGCTTGGTGGAGCACCAGAAAATCACGCACCACGTCGGGGACCGGACGCTGGGAGCAGGCGGCACCCAGAGCGGCGACAGCAGCCTGCTGCTCCTCTGTCAGGACGGCCAGACGCTCCCACTTGCTGCCCTGTGGGAAGGGTGAGAGAACGGATGCCTATGCGCACTGCTCCAGTGGGATCGTGGCCAGCGCGCACAGGTATCTCCCGACATCACTCGCCCCGATCACACGCGTACCACACTCTGTCCATGTCCGTATCTCGACGGTCCACTCGATAATGAGGAGGACATGGCGAGAGCTTAACCTCCCCCGCGCAGTGGCCGGGGCCGGCTCGATCACCCCCCGGCCCAGTATTCTGGCCGCAGCCCCTCGGACTGATCTTTTCTGAACTTATCACTGCTGAAAGTGATCGAGAATAATCTAATGAAAGCCTTGGATTGGCGCTGCGAGTATCTGTTGTCAATGCACCTCGCTCCGTTTACAAGGTACGCGCATCCAGCTTGGCCGGACTCGATCCCTCCACCGGCCCGACTTTGCATTTTACCTCTCCCTTCCGAGGCACCCGCCCCCACTTCCCAAATTCTGCCCATGCTGGACACAGATGTGACTCACAACACTCGCCTCATGAACAAGCTGGCCAGCAACCACATCTAGAGCATGAGAATCACTCGTCCGGTTGGCTGGGCTCAGGCTTCTCCTTCTCTGGGTCCTCCTCATCTGGGTCCTTCTTGGGGTTTTTCTTCTTCTGCGAGCAAGCCATGCATTGCATATGTTGGAGTAAGAGATACAGAGCGAGACCAATGTACCGCTCTGCAAGCAAATAAACCACTGTCATGAGCATGCATCACCCGGCCTTACCTCCTCTTCCTCCTCCTCATCAGGGAGCTCCGGGTCACCCGGCAATGGCTTTGGCAGCGGTGTGTCCAGCTGTGGCGGTGGGAGGTGAAGCATTCCTTCAGTAGAAGTGGTAGTAGCAAAAGGCCAATACCCATGGTTCAATGCCGGGCCCCTACTCCCTCATCCCGCTTTGCAGCGAGGTCTTGCAAGTGATTCGCACCCAGTGGTATGGACTTACCTTCTCAAACTCGGGGAAGATGTCGGGCCGACGACTGGGCTGGGGAGTCAGCCATTCCTGGATGTCGGAGACATAGGATTGGTTGCCCATGCAGGGTTGCCCTCCAACACCAAGCTCTCCAGGCACCATCAACCAGCACGCCACCCGTCAGACACCCTGCGCCTACTTGTGGGAAGTCGATAGGTGACCTCTCCTTCTCTGTCTCTGGCTCAGGGTAGGTAGCCTTCACGATCAAGCCTGCTGGGGTACACCGCGAGACCCTGCGAGCAACAGCCGCAGTTGAAGTCCTCAGCCGTGCACGTTGTGGGTGCATGGATGTGAATGCATGCGTTTCGCATTGTCGGAATGGGATGCTGTGCTGCATGCAGACACTCATGGTGCTCTGCATGGCCGGATGCCCGGTGTCGGTAGTAGAGACCCGCGAGGGGGTGGCGCCGTTCCAGAGGAATATCCAACTACACACTGTCGATACACACGTTCATGCTGCGCGCCGGTGTTTGATGATGGCATCATTCGCCATCGCGGAGCGGACATGCATTGTCGCAATCACTGCTCTCACCGAACAGGGTGAGACGTCTATGGCGCAGCACCCAGAGCATGGAATGTGGATTAGCTTCAGGTAACATGTTCACATGGAAGGATGCATTGAAACACGAAGAAACCCGCGAATTCCGAGCCAAAACCGCCTATCATGAGATGCAGGCAGCGCTTCGACTCGAGATCAGGGCTGAAGCAGATGCTCAGCTCTGGCGCCGCTTTTTCGCCGACCCCGACGGCGTAGCCTTGGCCTTCTTGCGTGTCGTATGCCCAGCCGTGTCGGCGGCGCGGTCCCCACCCCCGCTTGCCTTTATGATCGGCACATTGGCCATTTGGAAGAGGACCTGGGCGTTTGGTGGTAGGATGGCAGCAGGACAGTGTGAGCATCTCGGCAGCGTTCCCTGGTCTCACCATCAAGCAAGACCTGAGAGCCATCAGGGGCCCCATCGCGCAGGCACCAAACCACTCACGTTCTGCATCCAGGACACGTAGACGAGCACCAGCAGCGCACTGCTCGCCAGCACCAGGGTCGCGTAAACCCTGCCCGCCGCCGCGACGTCAGGCGTGGCCTCCAGCAGCGTCCAGAGCGGCCGGCCTCGGAGCCAGGCCCAGGCCCTGAAGGCGGCCGCCGCCGCCAGGGCCACCCGCAGCGCCAGAGCGCCCAGCTCCACGCGCAGGCGCCCCAGGTGCGCGCGCTTTCCGGTTCCACGCATGACGGCCACGGCGCGCCAGGCGTGCGCCAGCGCAGCCACGGCACCCAGCTGGTGGTAGGGCAGGAGCACGTACGTCAGGCTGCAGGGGAAGACCTACGGGCCGGTTGGTGGTGGGGGGTTGAGCACTCGATGGCGCTCACTGGCGGCCAAGCGTGTGCATGGGTAGGCAAGCTAGGGTTCCAAGGGTTGCCAGCGACACTCACTGCCCCGCCCAACCTATTGTCAAGCACCCCAAGACCATGAGCTGGTAATTTACGGGTTTTCTACCACATTACAGCGGCGCCTGGCAGCTCTTAGAGCTTCCTACCACCCTCCTTTCCTCGAGCTCACCTTGGCCATGGCCCAGCAAGCCAGGAGGGCGGCATGCTGCAGCAAGACAAAAGGAAAGGGGGGAGCCACCACTCCCGCATGCCTCGTGTACATGATGAGGCCGTAGAGCAGGAAGCCGGCGTGTGCGTCGGTCACAGCGCTGAGCCTGGCATCAGCAGTGAAGAGGCCAGCCTCGGAGCTATCGTCGTAGTAGCGGGCGAGCAGCGAGCTCAGGGCCGCGGCAATGGACAGCCCGGCGTGCACGCAGCATGCAATCCTGCGGGACAGAGGGATGGTGGTTTTAAAAACGGCTTTGGACGCTCGGGCGGGTGTGCCCCCAGGCTAGATATGCCCAAGAGGGGCGGCCAGGGGCTGGACCACGGGGTTCCACTTACGCAACCCTCCAGTACCACAACCCATGCCCCGACAATCAGGGCTCAAAACACAGCGCACTGGTGCTGCCATCTGAGCTTGGTGGAGGCGGGGAGTCCAGCGAGCCTCCTGCCCATCAGTCTGGGGAGCACGGAGTGGAGAGCCCAGAAGCTGAGCAGGGCGGTCAGGGTGAATGCAGGGGTGGAGCGCAGGGAGGCCTGCCACTCCGCCTCCTGGGCGGGCGGCAACCACAGGGCGTTAGAATCCATTTGTAGAGTCCGTCAAGGGTACTATAGTCCTGTAGAGGGAGGCAATGCGACGTGATCTCAGTCTGATCGGTGGGTGTCCCGTCGACCACCTGGGCAGCACTTGGACCGTCGGGGCTTAAGGTCTTCGCAGGCAAGGAGCCGGCTCGGCTTCAATTTACATGCAATCCTTGCAGTCCTCCGAGGCCAACACCGCCGTGTTCCTCTGGCTTGCGATGTCGCATGTGCCCCACCCATGCATGTCTGAGGGGCCCCGGTAGGCGCGCGCGCGCGAGGAGATCCGGAGCTGAATGGGAGACGAGGGAATCCATAGCGTCTTTCTCCAGAGTTTAAGCTGTCTTCCGCCCGGTTCCCTCACGCCGCCCACCTCTGACCTCCCGAGAACTCGCCCTTTGAGTGTCATCGTCACAGGAGGAGCATTGGGCACACGTCACTTGTCATCCACGTTCAGCATGGCAAACTTGTTCTGCACCTTGGTGACGACCACCTTCTCGGTCACCACCTGCTTCCCAGGGAGGCCCGCAGCGGGGGCAGCCTGGGATGGGACGGCGAGGGGGCTGAAGTCAAGGCTGACTGCCTGTGCGCGATCTTGACGCCACACAATCAATGCACCAAGTACCGAGTCCACAAATTGTTCCCATTCCACCCGATACCATGGAGCAGGCCCACTTCCCCGCCCCACCTGTGCAGGGGCAGTGCTGCTGTGGGCGCCGCCACGGCCCGCACCGTCAAACCCCCGACCTCCCCGGGGTCCACGGCCCCGGCCCCCTCGGCCGCCCCAAGCAGGCCTGGTCAGGAAGGGAACGAGTGGGACACGGAGAGGGTGAGGAGAGGAGCGAGACCATCAGCCTTGCAGCATCCACCCCTGCACCTGTGCCACAAGGTCGGGGCACGCCAGGTCAGGCAAGACCGCGGTGCAGCCCACTCACCCGCTGCTGCGCCCTCCGGGGGCGTGCGGCGCGTCCCCGTCCTGCACTGGGGCAGGGCCCGCGTGGCCAGCCACCGCGCCCT